ACTGACCAGCACCACGTTTTATCTTCTCCAAACCAACAGAAAAAGCACATTTAACATTTTTGTAGCCATTTATCAGCTGGGCATTTTGTTGGGGCAGAATGCCCAGCTGATAAACAGCTACAAAAATGTTAAATGTGCTCCTTCTGTTTTTTGGGGGTTTTTTTCTCTTTTTAGGAATTATTTATATTTTGTATTTTATATTTTCGGGCTGGGTCGAAGTTCCTCCTCCCGTTTTCACCTGAGAGCTGGCTTAAAGTTCTGGAAGTTGAGGATGCAATGGGAATTTTGTTATCTGAAGGGATTCCTTGAGGAGATATCCCACCCATGGGTCAATATTCCCAATTCCAGCGTGGGGATGGCAGGGCCTGGATGTTCCCCTCTGCCACAGCCAGGGGCTGGGAGTTTGGGGTTTTCCTCCCAAACCCCAAACTTTCCCCTCCTGCTGTGCCAGGATGGGTGCATGGGAACCCCAAACTTCACCAATTCCACCCAAAAATCCTGGGGCTGGGCAGGGAGGGCTGTGAGCCCCTGATGGAGCAGGAGCAGCATCCAGGGAGGAATTTCACCAATTCCACCCAAAAATCCTGGGGCTGGGCAGGGAGGGCTGTGCACACCCCAGCCCCTGCTGGATCAGAGCAGTGTCCAGGGAGGAATTTCAGCAGAGCTCATCCCAGGGACGAGTAGCCCCTGGGAAACCACGGGTGAGGGATGTTCATCCTTTCCTGCTGTGCCCCAGGTGAGAGGGAGCTCCCTGGGGGCGTCAGCCAAGGAAAGGCCGGAGAAGCAACCCTGGAGATCAGCCGTGGTTGTCAAGGACTTCAAATCTCGTTTCCTGTTTTCCACTCAGTTAATTACCAGCCAAGAACAGCTCTCTGCTGCAATCTGTGTTTCAGAGGCAGAAACAGACTGGAAAAAGAAGATTCAGGTGGTGACCAGAAGCCCAGCCCCAGTGCCTCCCTTGTTTAACTCACCGTGGACCTGGGCTGTGTCTCCCTTTTGTGAAAAATTGGAATTGATCAGTTATTGAATGCTTGAAAACTCTCTCAGCACTGCCTTGCAGGTGGAAAAGAACGCACTTGCAGTGTGATGTGAATATCCTGGACCCTGCAAGGTCCCTTTCTGGTGATTTATGCTGAATAAGATTCTCTGAAAGGCAGCAGTGCCCAGGCCAGAGAGGGGGGAGAGCAGCTGTGGCCAGAGATAAAAACAAGGACAAAAGCAGTTTGCTGGATTTGAAGAGAGTTGTTTGATATCTCTTCATCTATTACAAAAATCCCAATAAAATTTCTGTGGGAGTGCAGGGCGGTACGAGATGGAAATGAGCTTTATGGTGCTGGCGGAGCTGGGAGTCATTTTTAAAATGCAGCCATTAGTCTGCAATGAGTCATGGCACAGAAATACCTGGGCAAAGTGCTCAGGAAAATGAAAATCTATTAAAGCAGATTCTTTGGTGATGTAAAATCAGAATGGCTCTTTCCCCTGAATAGAGCCAGGGCAGCCATGTGGAATCTACAGGGGGGAAAATTCACATTTCTCCTTCCTTTACTTTCTAGTTCAGGGAAAATTGTTTTTCAATTATCATAATTTATACAACAGAAGAAAGGAATGAATTTTAAATTTCTGGCCTCTAATCCTTTTCCAGGTGCTCCTCCACATCTGTGTTTTGGGTCAAATCATATGAATACGTGCACAGATTTCCAAAAAAGACTTTTTAAGAGAAAGAGAGAAAGAGAATAAATATTTGGGGCATTTCTGGTTCATTTGAAGAACACAAGAGCATCAAAGCAGTCAGGAATAGGAAGGAAAGCTTGAGAGTTGTTGATTCAGGTTCTCAAAGAGTGAGATCAGCAACAAAAACTGCTTCAGTCAAAGGGAAGAAAAACCAGGAAACAAAACCCAAAGGGCAACAACATCCAACCGAGCCCTGCACGGGGGAACGGTTTCCCTCTGGAATTGTCCGGTGTGGACATTTATTCCCTTTCAGGACATGGGACTGTGGGTGGAGCTGGGATTCTGGGGCAGGGCTGGCTCCCTCCGAGCGGGGCCCTGCGCTGGGAGGGTCTGCAGAGCTCCAGGGCTGGGCAGAACCCGGCGCTCCCTGGGAAAGGCAGCGGGGGCTGAGCCCCCACAGATCCTGGGGCTCCCCTGGGGCAGCTCCCCTGGAGCAGAGCAGGAGGATGCAGCTCCTTTGTATCCCAGTTTCCCAAAGCCTCCCCCTTTTTATCCCAATTTCCCGGCCACATTTCCCTTCTCTCCTTCCTGTTGGGAAGGATGAGAGTTTGACAGGGAAGTCTCACAGATTTGTGCGCTTGGCAGGAAGATTTTTGAATGTAGAGTCTGATGAAGGAATAGAGATGGAAGCAAGTTTTGATATGGAAGAAAAGAATTGCTGAGCCAGTCTCACTGGATAACCAAGGAGCAAAGGGTGTGTGAGTTAGAAGGGGTTTTTATGGCTTAGAGCAAAGGATAAACCCACCCCAAACAAGAAGATGTTTTTACCAAGCAGGGAGAGAGCACAGGCAAACAAGGCAGCAAATGTGGCAAGGAGAAAAAAGGTGTCAGAATTTTCCACTGCAAGAAAACTGAAAAACAACTTCTAGCTTAAAATGTAATGTACTGACTGTTAGTGACTGGAGAACAGTAACATGGATATGGTAATTATAGTAGTTATGATAGGCTTTAGATAAAAAGTTAAGGTATAGATTGGTTCTACTATAGATTGGTATTAAGATGCTCAGCAAAGAAAAGTAAATAATGCATTGTAACCAAAAGAAAAGTAAAGAATGCATTTGTAGCCAAAATTAAAGGGTCTCCAGGCCTGCCTGCAGCTGGAGCTGACAGCTGTGGGCACAGCTCTGTCACCCACCACCCTGGGCTGCTGTGACCTCTTGGATGGAATAAACTGCATTTTGAATACAATAAACTGCATTTTGGATACAATAAACTGCATTTTGAATACAATAAACTGCATTTTGAAGAGGTGCCTGGAGTCCCACATCTCTCATCCAGGCTCTTTACACTTTCCCCATTTCTGAGGTACTTGAGAGGTTCAGACTTCCCAGAACCCCTGATCCCAAAGATTCCCCTGCAGTGCCTGACCCAGGAATGCCCTGCAGCAGCACCTGGGGCTCACAAGCCCAGCCTGCTGAGGAGCAGAGCAGCTCTGGGGCGCTGAGAACAAATCCCTGCTGCAGGCAGAGCGGGGCTGGTTTCCCCGACAACGGCAGCTCGCAGACTCTGCTCCTTCCCCGGGTGCCATCATCCCTTGTTTTGCTTTTTCTCTAATGCCTGACATTTTGTCCAACCGAGAACAGGTTTGTGGAGGAGGACTGGCAGTCAGTGGGGATGGAACTGGAGGAGCATGTGCTGCTGAAAGCAGTGACAGCTTGCAGCCGGTATTTCTGTCTGCCCCGAAACCTGTGCCAGGAGCCTCCTGCCAGGCTGCAGGAGATGCTGGGCTGCAGGAAAGGTTTGCACTGCTCTCAGCATTTCCAAGTTTCAGGATTCCCAAGTCTCAGCCTATTCCTGAGCTGGGCAGGCAGTGACATTTGTGATTTCAGGAGCAAGGACAGAGCTGCTGTTGTTGATCTCGTTGTTGTTGTTGTTGTTCAGATTTTCACACTGCAGTCCTGGATGAAGGAACAGCTCCAGACTAGACCCTCCCTGCTCTCAGCCAAACACGAGGCCAAAACAGCCCCCAGATCCTTGGTTTGGGTTTCCTGCATTTCCACAAAGCTCCCAAAGCCTCGTTTCTGTTCCTGTTTCTCCTGCCTGTGCCCTGGCAGCCCCATGGGCTGAGGAGCATCTCGGCTATGGTGAAGGATGGGAGTGAAAAGAAAGGTCAAAAATAATGGTGACATTTGGCTCAGTCCCAGCTCCACCAGGCCCTCGCTCACAGTGACAGTTCTTTTTGGTTTGGTGGAAGTCATAAATCATTTTTACATGGAATGGGTAAAAAAACGAGGTGAATTCTCTGCTTAGATCCTGATTTTTGGGGTAAATGCAATTTGTAACTAAACCAAGGTAACACAGCCAGCTCTGGACCCTGTGAAATTCCCAAATTGTGCAACAAAATCCAGGCCAGTGCTGGCAGGGCCGTGTGGGGTTTGTGGTTTCAATCTGAAACCAAACCAAAATGAAGCTGTGCTGATTGCCTTCACCTTCAGCTCAGCCACAGAGAGTGAAGTAACAAAAATAAATGTCTCAACTTGCTAAAATAGGGCTGGAAATTTCCCGTGTGTTATTTGGTTATTTAAATCCACCCCCAAAGACAGTTTTTTGACTGAGAAAGTTTGCAGACGTAGAAAATTAGAAAATTCCTCTGGCGTGTGCACACCCCCCAGTCTCAGAGAGAAGGGGCTTGTTCTGGAATTTTGGTAACAGAGCAGGCAGCAAAGCTCTGCAGCAAATGTACATTCATTAAGGGGCTGAATTTTTAAAACAAATTATTTGGGAATACACACGATGTGAAATAATTATGAGATCTTCTAATTCCTCAAACATCTGAACAGGATAAGGCCAAATTTTCAGTTTTCCTGTAGCAGACATAAAGTGACAACGTGATGAGATTTTAAACCACTCTCGAAGCGAGAAACCTTTTAACCAGGACCAACCTCCAGTGGCTCGAAATATCCAAAGTTATTTGTTGATTTTTCACTAGAGAAACCTTTTAACCAGGACCAACCTCCAGTGGCTCGAAATATCCAACGTTATTTGTTGATTTTTCACTAGGCAGTACACGAACATGACTGTTCCTAAACACAGAATAACATTTCCCTCCTATGGCTCTGTGTCTCTCTCCCTCCTGCCCCGGCACTGACACGAGTGCAGGCTCGTTTGGGGCACCAAAAGATGGATTTTAAGCGGAGGAGGACAGGGAGGAGCTCGTTTTCCTCATCACCAGAGGGTTTTTAGCTGCTGCTCCTCTCTCTGCCGTTGATGTGGGGCGAGTTCCGTCCCCACAACCCCTGCTGGCCGTGTGTCCTGGCAGGACAGAGGGACTAAAGCCCCTTCCTGGTGCAGGGGAACTCGGGCTCGTCCAGCTCGGGCTCTGGCACCTCGGAGGGCTTGCAGTGTGTCCTGCCAATCTCCTCCAGGGCACAGGCCAGCGAGTCCAGGTCCCCGTCGTGCTGGTGCCGCGCCTCCCACAGGTCCAGGATGACGGCGGAGGGGCTGCTCTGGGTGGCAAAGAAGGAGAGGTTCCTGCAGGGAAAGGAGAGAAAAGGGGTGAGGAATAAGGAGAGATTCCTGCAGGGAAAGGAGAGAAAATGGGTGAGGAATAAGGAGAGATTCCTGCAGGGAAAGGAGAGGAAATGGGTGAGGAATAAGGAGAGATTCCTGCAGGGAAAGGAGAGATTCCTGCAGGGAAAGGAGAGGAAATGGGTGAGGAATAAGGAGAGATTCCTGCAGGGAAAGGAGAGAAAAGGGGTGAGGAATAAGGAGAGATTCCTGCAGGGAAAGGAGAGAAAAGGGGTGAGGAATAAGGAGAGATTCCTGCAGGGAAAGGAGAGGAAATGGGTGAGGAATAAGGAGAGATTCCTGCAGGGAAAGGAGAGGAAAGGGGTGAGGAATAAGGAGAGATTCCTGCAGGGAAAGGAGAGATTCCTGCAGGGGAAAAGGGAAAATGGGTGAGGAAAAAGGAGAGATTCCTGCAGGGAAAAAGGGGTGAGGAAGAAGGAGAGATTCCCACAAGGGAAAGGAGAGATTCTTGTAGGGGAAAGGAGAGATTCCTGCAGGGAAATGCAGGGAAAAAAGAGGTGAGGAAGAGGGAGAGATTCCTGCAGGGAAAGGAGAGAAAAGGGGTGAGGAAGAAGGAGAGATTCCTGCAGGGAAAAATGGGAAAAGGGGTGAGGAATAAAGAGAGATTCTAGCAAGGAAAGGAGAAAAAAAAAAGGAGAGATTCCTGCAGGGAACAGAGGGAAAAAGAGGAGAGGAAGAAGGAGAGATTGCTGCAGGGAAAGGAGGGAGATAGGGGTGAGGAAGGAGGAGAGATTCCTGCAGAGAAAGGAGAAAAAAAAGGGATGAGGAAGAAGGAGAGATTCCCACAAGGGAAAGGAGAGATTCCTGCAGGGGAAGAGGGAAAATGCGGTGAGGAAGAAGGAGAGATTCCTGCAGGGAAAGGAGAGAAGAAAGGAGAGATTCCTGCAGGGAAAAAGGGATGAGGAAGAAGGAGAGATTGCTGCAGTGAGGGGAGGGAAAAAGGGATGAGGAGCAGCCCGGGCTGCAGTTGTGCCCTATGCCCAGCATGATCCACGTGTTTGGAAAAGAAAACCCCTCAGCAGTTGATGCTTGGGTTGTAAATGCAAAGACACAACACCTTTGATCCGTGATTTTCTATTTTGTTAATGTGCTATTTTTAGGACCCTGCAGGGGTGATTTGCACAGAATTTGGTAAAACAAAGTGTTTATCCAAAACTCTTTTTCCTTTGGCTCAGATGTGGTTTATTGAGGCTCCCACACAAAGCAGGAAGCCAATGGAAAGTTACTTTGCTTGATTTAAGTATTCCTCTGCTCTCCTGGGAACGCATTTATAGAGTTTGTGACAATCAGAAAATATTTTTGTGAGGAAGCTGCCTCCGCCAATTTAATTTAGCCAAGCAGAAAAAGCAAAGTAAGAAGTAAATTGGTTTTTACAGCATCTTTCAGTTTTAATAATCATAATATTATTACTCCTAACAGTAGAGCATGACTGTCTCTTTTAAAGATGTCTTTCCCTTAAAAAAAAAATATCTGCAGGATTCATTTTGGAATAGGAAAGAGAGAGAGGGAGTCAAGGGGATTCATCTGGGGGAACGTGCAGGCTCCTAAGGGCTTTGAACAACTGTTCAATGATGGACAAAATCCTTCTGCAGCCTTGGACTCCTGAGGGAGGGCAGAAGAACAAGGAGCTGAAACCAGAAGTGAGCCCAACTCAGCCCCTCATTGCCAGCCACACCCCTGACACCAGCAGCAAACCAGCCAACCAACCAAGAACCCCTGAACAGCCCGAAATCCCCGTTCCAGGTGCCAACCCCTGTAGCCATGATATTCTATGAAAAATCCTTTCGTTAGGATTTTTCCTCCTGAGAAGCCTCAGAGGAAAAGAAAAACAATGATTATCTGCTGCTGTGGAATGCAACAGGAGCACCTTTGATTGGTTCATGTTGTTGTTTCTAATTAATGGCCAATCACAGCCCAGCTGGCTCAGACAGAAAGTCTGAGACACAAACCTTTGTTATCATTCTTTCTTTCTGTATTCTTAGCTAGCCTTGTGATGAAATCCTTTCTTTTATTCTTTTAGTCTAGTTTTAATGTAATATATATCATAAAATAATAAATCAGCCTTGTGAAACATGGAGTCAGATCCTCATCTCTTCCCTCATCCTGGGACCCCTGTGAACACCAGCACAGACCCCGTGCCAGGGTGCTGTCACTCTCTTACAAGAGTTCTATTGCCATTATATTGCAAGGGTTCCATGTTGCCAGAGTTTTGCACCTCCTTTATGTTTCTTGCAGGCAGGTCCTCCAGGCACTGACTCTGCCTTGTCCTCACAGCAGCCAACTGACCCCAGTTCCCCTCAACCAACCAATCCACTCCTTTATAACACTCTTCTCATTGGCTACAGCTGCAGCCTGTTAACATCAGGCCTGCTCCTAATCTCTAGTAATTGGCTCAGCTGCAACTCTCTAGGGGCTAAGCTTGCATTCTATAGCATCCTCATTTACCCATCCTGTATCCCCCTGCACCGGGGCGTTGCCATCACCTGTTGATGCTGTTCTTCTGGGCCAGCAGCTGCCAGTCCTTGCCCTTGGCGCCGGGCGCGTCAAAGGTGGCGCAGATGCGCTGCCGGATGGAGCGCGGGATCTTGAAGGCCTTGGGGCCCAGCTGGGCGGGGAAGGCGCTGTCCTCGTGGCCAAAGAAGGGGATGTTTTCTCTCTCAGCCTGCAGGGAAAGGAGAGTCAAACCTCAGGTTGCTTGAGCTGACAACAGAAAATGGCTCAGAGGTTAATGCGGCTGTGCTGGGGTTCGCGGTGTCCCCAGCAGGCTGCAATGGGGTCTGGATTGTGGGAATCCACACAATCAGAGGGTTTTGGGAAAGCTGCAAAAGGCCCCAGAGACAGCAGAACTGTGATTGGAGCTAAGCAGCAGCCATGAGATTGGTCAGCAGAAAAATTATTTAAACTGTAGAAAAGCAAGGGCAAATAGAACAATGGTCTGTGTATTAACACTTGTCTAGAATAACTCTCTAAGCTGCAGAAAAGTTTATCTAGAGAGATATTAGGAAGTTTGAAGCTTAATAATAGAGCTCTGTGCATTGTGTTTGAAGGCTCACAAGCAGGGATTGTATTCTAAATAAGCAAGCATTGTTTAACCAAAGGTACCTGTGCTAATAGTGGTTGGATGGAACTACTGTCAATGTGCTTTTGCTTTGTGGGACTGGTCAAAACACTTATAAAGTGAGTTGTAACAATTATTTCTTGGTCTGCTGCCTGGGATGTGAGCTGGTGGCATCTTCCCATTGTCACTACCATGGAATGAGACTGATGCTGGAAAATCAAACAGCTCAAGGCACGTTCCCAGCAGTCCTGTCCTGTTCATGATTTGTACACAGACCCCAGCCAGCATCACGGATAGCTCTGACCTGCCCAGCACAGCTTGTCCGAGTTCCCAAGCAGTTCTTGGCCACAGGCAACCTTAGCAAGCTTAAGTGACATCAGCTCTTTAGTGGTTATCAGCTCCTTGTGGTTTCAGCTCTCAGCTTGCTAGGTGCCCAGGCAGGCAGGCACAGGGAGAGGGAGGAGAGGAGCTGTGTGGGGTTCCACAGGAGCGACTTTATTGAATCTCTGTGAAGGTTCCCAGTGACAGCTCTTCTGCCCGAGCTGGGCAAAAGCAGCTCTTTATATAGGGTACAGGGGTTTTGGAAATTGTCCAATAGCAAGGGCTAAAAGAAAGTGACCTATAGTCTTACAGAGAGATAAGCAAGGGGTCCAAAGGCAGCAGAGAGGAGCTTCTAAGGTTCCAGTCACCATGAATTGGCATTTCCTATCTTAAGCTTCTGAACGCCAGGAAAGTGTTGCAGGCTCTGGGCCTGCTACAAGAGGTGATTTTGTGAGTTGTGAAAGAACACCCAGAAGGTGTTCCTTCACCATCACAAGGACTTGTGCATAAAAACCTTTAAAATGGTGGGTTTTCCTTCCATGAGTTTTCTTTTTTGGTTATTTTTGTGTTGCAGAGCAGTGCTGGGTTTCTAAATCTTTAATTGCTTAAGCCTGAAACATGGGCACACAAATTTGTGTTTGTTTCTTTCTTTCTTTGGGTTTTCTTAAACACCTGAACTCCTTAAACACGTCAGCTCTCCTAGCCTCTCTGAAATCCAGAGAGGATCTGGCCCCTCTTTTCCTGTGGAATCACACTAGCCTTGCATAACAGAGTCAAATTTCAGTGCATTACTCATCCGAGAGCGACACAGCATCAATATTAACCAGCAGCAACGACGGTACAGCCTCCATCCACCATTTGTGACAGGTCCCCAGGGCCAGCCAGGCTCAGCACCCGGTGTTGCAGCTCTGCCCCGGGCTCTGCTCGAGATGCAGAGCAGGAGAAGCTCCTGCTCTGCACGTGTGAGATAAGCACAGCGACCCGGGCGCTGCGGGGATTGTCGCGCACGGAGCGGCTCCGGGGGGGAGTTGTCACTCACAGATTTATTTCGCAGTCAAATTATCCTCCCTCTTCAATCACTGCTGGAGATAGGCATGAGAAAGCCTTCCACAGCAGTAAATCTGCTTGAAGCAGAACGGGAACATGCTCTGGGGACTTGTGTACAGACAGGGCCCTTAAAAACACAGCAGAGAGGGAGAGCAAGGCAGCAGCAGCATGGGCTGGAGACACAGAGAGTGACAGAGGGGTTTTATAAAATAACAATAAAAGGAGCAGAAAACACTTGGCCAGCTCTGAGGAGTTTCTACACAGGATGGTGTTCGTGTGCTCTTGCCCAGCTGCTGCACTCCCTGCTCAGAGCATTTATGGGTGCAGAGCTCTAATCCAGAAGTATTTATCTGGATTAATCAACAAAGATGCTCAATAATCTAAAAAATGCAGCTGCTGAAGTTCTCATGGCTGTGGGACAGATCAGCAGCTTGCTCAGCTGTAGGTCTGATTTCTTTTAGCCATGAGCAGGGCTCAGTCCCCACAAGGCAGAATTTGTACCTCTGTCCCCAACCCTCAGTGCTCTGCAAGGGCTTCTTGCTGGGGAACTGCAGCCACCAACCCAAACAACAAATTATTAAATTGTTGATAAATTATTGTTGGTGCTGCAGAGTCTCTGTGCCTTGATTTCTGCTGGAAATGAGATCTGCAAGGCTTTAAAGGCTGCTTCCAGCTTTGAGCAAAAACTACAGGAGGAAAGGACAAAGCTGGGGAGGGAACTGGTGCACAGAGAGGTGGTGCCCCCTCCCTGGATGTGTCCAAGGGGTGAGATGGTGGAAGGTGGCCTTGCCCATGGCAGGGGTGGCACTGGATGGGCTTTAAGGCCCTTCCAAGCCAAGCCAAGCCAACCCAACTCAACCCAAGCCAACCCAACTCAAGCCAAGCCAAGCCAAGCCAACCCAACTCAGTCCAACCCAACCCAAGCCACCCCACCCCAGGATTCTGTTCCATGACCACCCCGCCCTGCAGGCCAGGGGGTGCAGGTGTCTGTACCTCGAGGACGGAGGTCTGGACGTGCAGCAGCTGCTCGTGGCCCTGCAGCTGCCTGACACAGACGGTGCAGCACAGCTGGGTGGTGGCGGGGCTGAAGCGCTCCAGGGAGAAGGCGCCGAGCAGGGGCCGGGGGCTGCCGCGCCACACGCGGGAGAACGGCACCTCCTGTGGGACAGGGACACGTCAGGGACAGGGGACACGGCCTGGGGGACGCGCCCAGTGCTGCTCTGCTGGGCTGGGCTCGGTAATGGCACCTCCAGCTCCGAGCAAAGCCAGAAAATGAGGGTTGAGTTGATGGAACTGAGGTGTGGCAATGACCGAGAGCTCAGAGGAACAAGTAACAGGAGTTTCTTAAAAAAGATGCCTAAAGAGACTTCAAAAAGATGCATTTCACTTCCTCCCTCTTGCCAGGATCGGGATTCCTCTCTGTGTCTCCTTGGAATCACCTTGTAACCAGAATGCAAGGAGAGAAACTTCCCACTGAGAACTGCCAGCCTTTCCTTCTCCACCCCAAAGGAATTTTCCACCAAGAACTGCCCTGATCCTGCCACCATTCCCTTCTCTACCCCAGAGAAACTTCCTACAAAGAACTGCCCTGGCCCTGCCAGCCTTCTCCATCCCAAAGGAACTCCTCACCAAGAACTGCCCTGGCCCTGCCGCCCTTCCCTTCTCCATCCCAAAGGAATTCCCCACCAGGATCTGCCCTGGCCCTTCCCTCCTGTCCCCAGCCCCAGGCTGGATCCCGAGCTGGGAGCAGCAGCAGTAGTAAGATGCTCTCAATGATAAAGGAAACGTTAGCAAAATGTTAAAAGTGGAGCAGCTGTAATTAGATTTTTTTCAGGGTGATGATCTCTGCTTTCACTCCGAGTGGAAGAATCACTCAGCTGAAAGGAGTTGTGTGAAACAAAGCAGAGAGAGCAGCAAGGAGTGCTGCAACAATGAGTGCTTGGAGTATTCCAGAGACGCTTTCAGCTCCACTCTGCGTTTATAATTAAGCTCCTCGCAGACAGAGGGGCTGTAAATCATCTCGTGGCCCCAGGCAGAGCTGGATCCTCCAGGAGATGCAGATCTGAGCAGCCAGAGGTGCCTGCCCAGCTCCTGCCATGCCCATCCCTGCTCTGCCTGCACCACCCACATCTCTCAGGGATCCCCGGCGGGAAGGGAGCCAAGCCCTGGGCAGCTGCTCGTGCCAGGCCAGGACAAACACAGGCTCTGAGCAGGATCTGCAGGAATCCTGGTGCCACCTGCCACCAGCTGCCTCCCAGCAGCTCCTCAGTGTGATTTATTCATCTGCTCGGCCTCCCTGAGCCATCATTTCCATAAATCCTCCTCCCCACGCTGCCCGGGGAGGCTCTGCTGCTGGACCAGAGACATTCCTGGAACAGGCTGTGTTCAGTTGTTCCTGCCAGGCAGCACAAGCAGCTGCTCTCACAGGGTGGGACGTAGGAGAGGAACCCAGGGAACACTGGAAGAAACTCCACGTGCAAAAATAGATCCTTTTCTCTATAAAGGGGCTGGAAGCAAACCAGAGCTGTCACCAGACTTTTCACTGCGAGGGAAGCACCGAGCCAGGGGAGGTTCTGCAGCTCCTCTGAGGAACGGTGATTGTGCTTCTGAGCTGCCCGAGCCGTCCCAGTTACACCAGTTAGAAAATGTAAATTTTCCTCTGGGTCAGGGCAGCCCTGGGTCGGCCCATTCTGGCAGCAGAGGTTGGGCACAGGCTTCTCCCCAGCCCTGAGCCCCTGCTCTCATCAGGCTCTAAGTGGCACTTGGAGGTTGAATTCCAGACATTTATTCTTCGTGTTTGGAGAAGGGATTAGGAGACAATAAAATAATCAAAGTGTGGAGCTCCATAATCTGCTGAGGGCAGAAGTGAATTTGTTGCATTAAGAGGAAACTCCTCTGATTTGATTTTATTTTGGGCACACACTGACAGGACTGGGACATCCTAACCCTGCTTGGCTTGGCTTTTAAAATACAGGTGAGTGAGAAGAACAATTAAAACACCAAAAAGCTCTTCTTCCTAAGAAGCTGAAAAGGATTAATTTATTTAATTTCTTAAGCTGTAGCCTGAATTATCCCCATGAGGGATAATTGGGGATTGCTCTGGCTCTGGGTCTGTGTTTATAACTTTCAGAGCCCATTACCCTCTTATGTTTTATGTTTTGGGGAACGTGGCAACACATTTAAAACAGGGTTTTTGCCAAAATTCTGGAGGATGCAAAAACTGTGTCTCTGCTTCTGGGAGAAGGGAGAATTGTACATTCTAATTGAGTGCTGTGTTTTAAAACCAGCCCACTCCATGTGCCAGCACATTCCTTAAGATTTCCAGTCATCAAAATCCTTGGAAATTCTTCTTTTGTTTTGATTTTTCCTTTTCGGTTTTCAACAGCCTCTCTAATTAATGGAGAAGAGAAAAACCAATTTGCTGCTCTTCAGTTCTAATGCTTGCTCTCTGCGTGCTGTGATTTGAACTCATGGTTACATTTAAATGTCATTTTTAGCCATATTTCCATAGTTATATCAAAACTGCAATGACAGATATTAGAAACATCTTGAGGAGTGGTTAAGTTTGAGCAGGAATATTTGCCTTCTGTTGGAGGCAACTGAAATGGGGGAAGGCACAAGCATTTCTGTAAAATGACAAATTTACAGCGTTCTGGTGTAAACGAAATCTGTGTTTGTCAGAACCAAAAGCCAACATGTTTTTGTTAAATGCTCGGGGGGTTTAAAGCTTTTTAAACAAAAGGAACCTTGGTTCATTTGTGTTTCATTTGGGTTCTCCCCCAGTGCAGGGGGAAGCAGTGAAATGCCAAGTACCTGACAGGCAGTGAAGGGTTTGATTCTCCACAGGAAGGGAGGCACGTCCAGCACTGAGATCTGGAGGCTGCAGGTGTTGCCTTTAAAATGCAGAAGTTTGGGTTCCTCCAGCAATTGTCCCCCCTGGAGCCTTTCATCCGAAACCACTTCCTGCAAGGGAGGAGGAGAAATATTTCCAGTGTCAGGAACAAACCCCAGATCCAGTGATTTGGGGATTCTGGATTCAGGGATCCAGAATTCCTCTCTGTGGGGGTCCCAAGTTCCCCCACAGTGTTGAATGCACAGTGGAGCCTCTCTCATGGGCAGGTGATGGTATTTATAATATAAATATTTATATTTATAAATATTTGATATTGATATTTCCCAGAAGGCTGGGTTTGGTCACTGCCAGCCCCATTTCTGGGCAGATAATGCTGGTTGGACACTGAAGTTTTGGCTGTCTCCACTCTCCAACACCCCCAGTGCAGCCCAGCCCAGCTGGACTCCAGAGCAGCTTTGGCTTTTCAGAGCCCTCAAACGCTTCAGGTGAAATCATTCACTTCCATTTCCCACCTCTAAGGCACTTCCAGAATCACTGCACAAGACCCTGAGCAGTGTGAAGGGCAGACTCTGGGCAGGGGTTTGCACTACAGCCCTCCAGAGCTCTGTTCCAAGAGAAATTTTTATGTAATTCGGTGAATTTAAAACATAATGGCAAAAAAAAAAATCACCCCTGCCGGTACTTAAGCAATGTTTATTCCTGTGCTGCTGCAGTAAAAACACCAGTGAGGGAGGAAAGGTTGCAGAAGTCTTTAAAAATCAGCAGGCAAGCAGTGCTTCCAAATTACCTTTCTCAATCCACATAAATTATATCAAATGTGTGTCCATGGAAGGGGTTTAATGCTTGTCAGGACCAAAGTCGCCGTTAGAGGAGCTCCTGGAATCACTGTGACCTTCTGCAAATTCAATGCTCCAGCTCTCTGAAACTGCACTAATGGATTTCTATTATAAACCAATTTTTTTCCAGGCATTTAGGTTGGTTTAACCCCTGGTGGTGTCCCAGATTGCAAGGCAAGATGTATTTATTCTATTTGCCATCTGCATGGCAGCTGTCTCCTGTTCAGTGAGCAGTTCTCCTTATCTCTTCCACACCCACTCCTCCCTCTGGGGAGACATCTGCTGATAAGAGGCCATGGAATGTCCCTGCATGGCTGATAAGAACTGCAGCATCCCATTGGGAGATGTGAGCCCAGAGGGAGGAGCCAAGCATTCCTACCTGGATATAATCTGGAGATTCTGGGACACCAGCTAAGCATTCCTACCTGGATATAATCTGGAGATTCTGGAACACCAGCCAAGCATTCCTACCTGGATATAATCTGGAGATTCTGGGACACCAGCCAAGCATTCCTGCCTGGATAGAATCTGGAGATTCTGGAACACCAGCCAAGCATTCCTGCCTGGATATAATCTGGAGATTCTTGGCTCTCCACTGGATTCCCCAGAGGAGCAGCAGCTGCCTCTCCTTCCCCCTGGATCTTCAGAGGCAGAGACTCCACCAGGATCCCTGCTCCAGCAGAACCAGCCCTGGCACTGCAGGAGGGCTGAGCCACAATTCCAATGGTTCTGCTGCCCACACCCTGACCCACAGGGTGTCAGGCTGGGTTCTGACTCTGGCACTGTTGGTTTAGTTCACTGCATTGTTGATTTTATCTTTTTATTTTCTTCCCTATTAAAGAACTGTTATTTCCTACTTCCATATTTTTTGCCTGAGAGCCCTCTAATTTAAAATTTACAGCAATTCAGAGAGGGGGTTTGCATTCTCCAATTCAGGGGAGGCTCCTGCCTTCCTTAGCAGACCCCTGGCTTTCCAAACCAAGTCAAGTGGTTGGATTCATCCAAAGAAAGAATATTGGGAGATTTCAGCTTTTTGGTTTCCAGCCACAGAGGGAGCAAATTATTTCTTAACCGTTCTCAAAATTCCTGGAGAATGTTGGATGGTTGTGAATGTTGTGTGAGTGCTGCTCTGCCTTCAGTGACAGATGTGGGGCTCCTCCCACAGCAGCAGCATTTGGGGCAAAACACAAAGGATCTGGGTCTCTCCAGTTTTGAGAGCCAGGAGTTTCCCAGCACACTCAGAACTACCCAAAGCCCCAAGGCAGCTGCTGGAGGAGCAAGGAGAGTTTTCAGCCAGGGAAAAAGTCAAAATCAAGGGAACTTTGTCTCATACATAAACTTGCACTGTGCAGGATTAACTGCCAAACACCACTTGGCAACCCCGACTCTGATATTTTATCCAAAAACCTCTGTAATTTGCCATATTTTATCCAAAAACCCCTGAGACTCCCTGCATTTCTTCCAAAAACCTCTGAATTTCCCCATATTTCATCCAAAAATGAAATTCCCCATATTTTATCCAAAAACCTCTGTAATTTCCCTATTTTATCCAAAAACTTCTGTAATTTCCCATATTTTATCCAAAAAAACCTCTGTAATTTCCCATGTTTCATCCAAAAATTAAATTCCCCATATTTTATCCAAAACCCTCTGAAATTTGCCATATTTTATCCAAATACCTCTGTAATTCCCCATATTTTATGTAAAAACCTCTGCAATTCTGATATTCCTGATAATTCTGTAATTCCTGTATTCCTGGTATTGCCTTGCTTTTAGGGCTGCATCACTCCATGAATTCAGGACTGTCTCACTATCCACACACACCCTGCTCACTCCTGGCAAGGCAGAGAACTGGTAATTATTCTTCTGATCATTTCCTCCAGACTCATCAGGAAGACACCGGTACCCACTAATTGTCTAAGTGTTATAAAGAGGATAATTAGGCAGCCATTGTGAGCCTCTAACAATCCTTTTGGTGCCTTGGCTTTTATTAGCAGCACAGAGACAGCAGCTCCACTCTCAGCCCTGTTCCCATTCCTGTGCCACAGCAAGAGGAAGGAAAAAAATTCCATCTCACAACTGTTTGCATTTCAGTTCCCCAAAGAACAGCATTTTATCAAAAAAAACCTCTGTAATTTGCCATATTTTATCCAAAAACCTCTGTAATTTGCCATATTTTATGGCAAATTCCATCTCACAACTGTTTGCATTTCAGTTCCCCAAAGAACAGCATTTTATCCAAAAACCTCTGAAATTCCCCATATTTTATCCAAAAACCTCTGTAGCTCCCTGTATTTTATCCAAAACCCTGTGAAATTCCCCATATTTTGAGCTCCTGAGTTTACCAAAAGCCAGAGAATGTCACTGTTGTGTCCTGGAACACGGTGCAGGAAAATAATTCTGATCCCAAGTGCCATGTGGGGATTTGGCTTTTTTTTTTTTTTTTTTTTTCCCTAAGGGGAAATGCAGGATAATTGAATTTTTGTAAACCAGGGCTGGGTGAGTTGTTTGGCTAGCTGAGAATGTGGCAAAAAATGAGAGAGCAAACAAGAGAGTTTGGCCGCCCTAGAGCTCTCAGTGTAAATCCACAACTGCAGGGAATTTAAGGGATTTATTCAAATGGTGCAGCAAGTGCTTAAAAAAATCCAATATTCCCATTGGGTTAAGGTTGGGGATAAAAGGAGTAAAAGGGTTTAATGGGAAAACCAAGCAAGCCCAGAGGAGCAAAGTGAAGGCATTTACCTGGAATGCACAAGGGGTGTTATCCACACAATAAACCCTCAGATTGTAATCCAGAGAATTGCAAGACAGGCAGCCAAAAACGGCGACTTTCAGCTGTCGAACGGCGCAGTCTGAGATGGGTTCCCCAATTAGGGCATAAGTTCCAAAGCTGTTTAAGAGAATGTGACAGGCATAAGGATCCAACAGGCAGTAGCAAGAAGTAGTTTCCTCTTCCACAGACATCACTTCCTGCAAAATGAAATTCAGGTTTAAAGAGAATAAAGCGAAGTGGAATCAATAGGCCTCGACAATAGGAGTCATGGCATTAATTCTTTATTTTTATTCAACTGGAATGCAGAGGGTTGCTGGGAGCCACTCTGGGGGAAGGGGAGAAGGGGGACTGCTTCCCTGAGTAAATATTCCCAATTTAGCCCTGAGTCAGCAGGAGGATTTATGGCCATGCCCAGCACAGAGCTCGCTGTGTACATACAATAATAATGATGATGCCTAAGCAATTTTAGCAGCTTTTTTCAAGTGCTCTTGACTTTCTGGCTAATTTTTCCCCCCAGTGTCAAGTTAAAAAATTACCTTGAATGTTAAAGTCAATAAGCAAACCTTGAACAATGGCTGGGCTTTGACTTCCTTCCAGAACATCCATTACAGCCACGTTTCCCTTCCTCAAAAACTGCCTCTGCTCTGCCTCTGCTGCTCAGCCCTGCCCTGTGTCCCTCTGTCTGTGTGTCCTGTGACCCTCTGTCCATCTGTCCCTCTCCTCAGTGACCCAGGCTGTCTGAGGCCAGCACTGCTGGAGCTGCCCAAGCTTTGAGTAAATCTGAATTAGGAAAATGGGACTGGGAATGGCTTAAAGCACAGCAAACCCCAGGCAGGGGCTCAGAGAGGGACAGGACAGAAGGACAGACTGCAGCCATGGCATCCATGGCTGGGCTTTGTATCCATAAACTTCTGCACATCTTCGTGTGAAACACCCAAACCCAATTTCGCTGTTTCTTCACAAAACACAAAATCTTTTTCACTGCGATTGTTTCTTCTCTGTGTCTATCCCCACCAGAACCTCTGCACAACCAAAGCTTAACTCCATTTCCACACTGGGGTAGGGGGATAGAATATAAGTAAATAAAGAAAGTATAGAATGTAATCTTATCCCCTCAAGAGTTGCAGCTGAGCCAATTATTAAGGATTAGGAGCAGGCCTGATGTTAACAGGCCGCAGCTGTAGCCAATGAGAAGAGTGTTATAAAAGAGTGAATTGGTTAGTTGAGGGGAACTGGAGCCAGCTGGCTGCTGTGAGGACAAGGCAGAGTCAGTGCCTGGAGGAGCTGCCTACAAGAAACATCAAGGAGGTGCAAAACTCTGGCAACATGGAACCCTTGCAATGTAATGGCAGTAGAACTCTTGCACTATAGTGACAACAAATGGCGATCCCAATGTGATTTGGGAGAAATAACCCCAATGTGACAACAACTGGGCACAGCCTGGGGCTGGGCTTACCTCCCACTTGCCCTGCTGGGTCCTCCTTTTGAGGTGGATGCTCCAGTGCTGGGGGTCGGCGTGGGCGCAGTGCGGGATGCTCAGGGCGCAGGGGGTGCTCACGGCCAGATCGGGGGGCCCGCAGCTCACCTCAGGGCCCAGCAGCACCTCAGGGCCCTCTGGCTCCAGGCTTGGGGCAGCAAAGACAAGAGTGGCTGTCAGGAGTGAGAATTCACTGAAAAGAGTTCAAATCCAAGCACCTCCCTCATCTGTATAAGGGTCTCTGTGGTCAGGATGACCCCAAGATGTGCTAGAAAATCTTTTTTTCCCAGCCCAACAGCTGAAGAAGAAGAGAGAATTCATTGGCTCTCATTCTCAGGGTTGTTTATTTTCTCTCATCTATTCCATTCTTTCTCTGACCTGCTGAGCTCTGTCCAGCAGGCTGGGTTGTGGCACAGTCCCTGCCCTTGGAGTGGTGTTGGCTTTTTATACTAACAACTACCTGTGCTTTATTTACAATAATTTTCCAATACCTATCATGTGATGGCATTTGTAGGGGTCTTAGGATCAGGGACAAGATGAGGATCTGACTCGATAGTCCAGAAGGCTTGATTTATTATTTTATGATATATATATTATGTTAAAACTCTACTAAAAGAATAGAAGAAAGGCTAGCTAAGAATAGAAAAGGAATAAAAATAAAGGCTTGTGGCTTGGACAGAGAGTCTGAGCCAGCTGACTGTGATTGGCCATTAATTAGAAATAACTGCATGAGACCAATCCCAGATGCACCTGTTGCATTCCACAGCAGCAGATAACCGTTGGTTACATTTTGTTCCTGAGGCCTCTCGGCTTCTCAGGAGAAAAAAATCTTAAGGAAAGGATTTTTCATAAAATGTGTCTGTGACACCTTTCACCTACGTTAGACAGTCTGTCTCTAAACCAATCTCAAAGTGCCACCATCACAGCAGAAGATGTAGGACAAGAAGAAGGAGAAAAATGGACACATCCAGGTCCCTCCATCTTGCCTCTTGAACTCCCATTCTACATCTCCAAAATTCTACTTTTTCACCCTGTGATAAATTCACTGTCGTTCTACTCAAACTCTTGTGGCTTGTAACTCTTCGCACAAAGTTGGGAATTGTTTTTCTCCATGGGCTAAAATCAAAGGCACAGGTGGTTTTGACTCTGTGCTAAGGTCTCTGAGCCCCTGCCAGGGTCTGGAGTCCTCCAGGGCAGCCAGAGCAATGTCCTGGGTTCCCACACTGCTGCTCATTTCTGCTCATTTCACGTGGAAGCAGCAGCTGGAGATGAAACAAACCCATTAGACCCCATCTAACTCCAATCAGCGGCCGGTCAGTTTAGGACTCTGGTATTTAAAGCACATTTCAATTTGTTTAACCCAAATCCAGCACTGGAATTGCTCTGTGCCAGCCAGCCCAGCTCCGAGCACCAGCTGGTCCCGTCCCCACCGTGCTCTGCCTTCAAACGCTGCCATCAACAATATTTTCACAGGAGTGAAGATAAAACAAATTATAGCTGAAAAAACACAGGCTCATAAATTCTTCCAGATTGAGTGTGATCTCCCTGCCTTGAAAACCCATTTGTATTCTGCAGGAGGAGGGAGCTCAGTGACTTTTACAGACTCGGGGACAGGGCTGTGATTGGAACTAGGGCTGGGCCAGGTGCAGCCGTGGCTGTGGCTCTGGGACAGGCAGGGGAGATCCCACCTGAGCTCCAGGGATTCACCTGGGCTCCGTTAATGGCTGCATCCTCTGCCTGCTGCCTTCCAGAGATGTGTAATCTGCTTTTCTTCTCTCTCACTCCAGCGAACTGGAGCCACCCCCACACCAACGTGTTTTCCGTCTCTCTTGGAATAAATCCCCAGGCAGGAGCGATGCCAGAGTGGAGGAGAATCCCTTGGACACTGAACCAGCAATTGAAACCTCTTGCCCTGCTGGTTTTGTTGCTGTTTGGTTGTATTTTAATCCATTTGGGTTCTAAATCACTGGGCATGCAGCTCCCTCTTCAAACGAAAGCAAATGGTGTTTCCAAGATAAAACATGAGAGGAGGAACCTCAACCAAGGTAAAAATTAGGGAAAGGACCTCGACCAAGATAAAAAATAGAAGATACAAGAATGAAACCAGGATATAAAAAGGGGGAAAAGCCCAAGGTGAATTGGGTACCCCATTCCAGTGCCCTGACATGGAGCTGTAGCTGTGGGTGCCCAGAAAATGCCCTTTTTTCCATCACCACTCCTGCTAAAGAGAGGCAGGAATGTTCCAAGCCTCCCCTCAGTCTGTGTGTACAAGTGTTGGTGAGAGGGAGACTGCAGGGGAGGAGAAAAAAAGAGGTAAAAAGGTAAAAATTAGGGAAACCAAGGCAAAAATTAGGGAAAGGACCTCGACCAAGATAAAAAAATATAAAGATACAGGAATAAAACCAGGATATAAAAAGGGGGAAAGCCCAAGGTGAATTGGGTACCCCATTCCAGTGCCCTGACATGGAGCTGTAGCTGTGGGTGCCCAGAAAATGCCCTTTCCATCACCACTCCTGCTAAAGAGAGGCAGGAATGTTCCAAGCCTCCCCTCAGTCTGTGTGTACAAGTGTTGGTGAGAGGGAGACTGCAGGGGAGGAAAAAAAGCCACAACAAGGTAAAAAAGAAGGTCAATTCCTTTTTTCCCTCTCTCAAGTGCCACAATAATCAATTCTGCTGAAACCTCAGTGCTTCCAAGTGTCTGTAGGATTTTCAGGCTTAAAAAAAACCATAAAATCAAAGCACCCCCAGAGCCCGAGGTGCTGAGCTCCTCCTGAGCAGGGAGAGGAGCAGCGGGCACAAGAATTCCAAGGGTTCCACAGGAGCAGCACTCCAAGGGCATTTGTGTGTCCCTCTCAGGGTCACAGCAGGGTGGGGACCCCAGGAGTGGCTCCTGCAGAGCCATGATCCCAAATCTCTCACCTGGACTCCTTCTGAGTGATGGCCAGGTAGATTTCCCAGGAGCTCTCCTCTGGAATAGCCCCGTGTGGAATCAACAGACTGACCCCTGGAAAAGAGCAAGGGCAGGAGTGACCCTTGGGAAGGGCGGGGTTGCCAGGGGACAGGGAACACCACTGGAATGTTCCTCTGCATTCCTGCTTCTCGTGGCAACCTCACCAGATGAAAGGAATGTAAACTATCCAAGGAAACAAAGCTGTTGCTTCCCCATCAAAGGAAAAGACATCTTATTTCCCAAAAAAAAAGCCTCTTGGAGGCTCTTTCCTTTCTGAAATAAGACTTGATCATTGTGGGATCCTGAGGAATCTCCCCATGGAGAGGGGGATCATCCTTTTGTCCCCACACATCCCAGCTCCTGCTCCCAAGTCACATCCTCCTTCCACACCGCCAGAGTGGATCAGAAGTTAACAGGGCAGTTTTCCACTGGGGACCACTGCAGTTAAACTGCTTTATCTCACTCTCAGGAGAGTGAGGGGGGATGTGTTTGGCATCTCAGGAGAGTGAGGGGACGTGTTTGGCATCTGCCACACAACGCAGAGCCTTGGTGATGCCCTGACTCCATCAAACCCCCTCCCCAAATGCAGGTGAGCCCGAGCAGTGGGAGCTGCTCTGATTTGGTTGCTTTGCTTTAATTTGAGCTTTTCCTATATCAGTGTCGGAGCTGGGGATTTTGGAAAGGACATGGGGATTTTGGATGCTGGACAGCATTTCTAGAGCATCTGGAGCATGGCCAAGGAGGATCCTGTGTTTGTGGGACAATTCCAGATCCCTGTGCTCATCCCAGCTCCTGCACCCCGGTGATCCCATCCTCCTTCCACACCACCAGGGTGGATCAGAAGTTAACAGGGCCGTTTTCCACTAGGTACCACTGCAGTCAAACTGCTTTTTCTCGCTCTCAGGAGAGAGGGGGGACGTGTTTGGCATCTGCCACACGATGCAGAGCCCTGGTGGAGGCACCGACTTGATCACACTGGAATTTACAACTGCTTGGCACAGCTGATCTTACATAAAGGCAGCAAGAATTACATAAATTTCAAGTGGACCAAATACATATTTTAATAATCTAATTGATGGGACTATCATTACATAAAGTAGCTAAATATACAGTATGAGGGAATTCTTAATTCATGCCTTAACTTTGTGCCTCTGCAGTGTTCCTTCCTCAGCACAAAACCAGTCTGTGGAGAAATGAAAACATTCCCCACGTTGTGCATGCCTGGGCTGTCACTGTTATCAATCCTCTCTAAACACAAGCCACGTTTTTTATGGTAACCTTTAAAGCACCCGTTTTGTGGGACATGAAGGATAAAGCTCTAAATCATCCAGTTCAACCAGAGAGCAGCAGATAATCCTGGAGCCACTGCTCAAACGAAAACAGAGCTGAATTTAAAGTGGATAAATATCATTGGAGTTGAAGGATGATAACACCTAGCTGGCAGTATCTGGCCTTTTTGTGCTGCCTTTTGGGGAGAGAAAATACCCGGGCTAAGGGCTGGGATTTGGGGTGATGCAAGCACAGCCCTGGGGGTGCAGCTGCAGGGCTGCGAACCTGCAAAGCTCTGATCTGCTGCTCCACTCATTCCACAACAAACAAACCACCCTGCAGGTCTGCAGAACTGCAGGTCTGAAACGCGTCCCACAAAGGTCACAAAAGTCAAAAAGCACACAGAGCAGAGGGAGCCACAAAGAAGAGGGAGCATCTCAGCCCCCAGCCAGGGACAGGGGCCCTGCTTTGGGCATCTGGGAGATTTTTGCTCCAAGAAAGGGGGAAAGGGGCAGGCAGGAGGGGCAGTGGGGCTGTCCCCAGGCCTGGCTGCTGTCCCTGTGTCTCCCCGTGGGGCTGGAGCTGCTGCTGGAGCATGAGGAGCTCCTTACGTAAGATCCAGCACCGACCCTTCCCGGGGAGCCTCTGCTCTGGAGCAGCATCCAAGCAAGGCTCAGCTTTGATTAATGTGACTTTCATGCTGAAGACATCAAGAGAGGCAGTAATTTAAAACAGTTCAAATAGGCATAATGCCTCTTCAGTCCTCAGCCCAGGCTTCCCTCTGATCACTCGTGTCCTGTGTGGGCAACTTGCCCTACTTCCAAAATTTGCATTAGTGGGGCCCCTACTTCTTCTTTCCTGGAGAAAAATTTTAAATTTTAATTTTTTTTAAATTTAGTTATAAAACACAGAATCAGGCAGCCTAAGCTCAAATTCCTCTACGTGCTTTGGTGAGCAAGGAGCCACCTGTTGCAGTGTGATGTCAGGGTTTGCTTCAGAACCTTGGGTTCCCCCCTGATAATTCCCTGCCAGGTGTCTCAGTCACCTCTCCTTCCCCTCCAGCACTGTCTGTCAGTCCTGGCATTCCAGAAGGGCCTCGAGTGATTGGGCAGATCCAAAGGATGCCCTCTACCCCTGGGGGGCCCTGGGCCATCCAGGTGTCCTTTGTCCCTTTGTCCCTCCCCTCCTGTCCCTGCTTGGTGCCTCCCTGCCCCTTCCCTGCCCCTCTCCCCGGGGTTCAAAGGAGCAGCAGCCACGGGCTCAGGGAGTTCTGTGGGAGCTGGTGCTGCATTCAGAGGCCTGAGGGCCAGAATAAAGCTCTGGATCCAAACCCTCCCTCAGAACCGACTCCTTTCCTTCACCATGGCCTGAAAGCTTCTCCACAGAGGGAAACCTGAGGAGCAGCCCCTGGTATGGGGGGAAGCTCCATCCCAGCAGCACCAGAGCTCCTGCAGGCCTGGACTTGTCTGCAGGGCCCAGCTGCAGCACCCAGGCAGCCCAAAGTGTCTGTGGGGTGAAACACCACACACCCAGGCAGCCCAAAGTGTCTGTGGGGTGAAACACCACACACCCAGGCAGCCCAAAGTGTCTGTGGGGTGAAACACCACACACCCAGGCAGGCAAAAGTGTCTGTGGGGTGAAACACCACACACCCAGGCAGCCCAAAGTGTCTGTGGGGTGAAACACCACACACCCAGCAGCCCAAAGTGTCTGTGGGGTGAAACACCACACACCCAGGCAGGCAAAAGTGTCTGTGGGGTGAAACACCACACACCCAGGCAGCCCAAAGTGTCTGTGGGGTGAAACACCCCAGTGCTGCTGTTTGGTTCCACACCAAGGTTCAGACAAGCTCCCATCCACGTGTCCCATGTCCACAATATTGGTAATATTCCAATAACCACTCACCCGTGTTAGGGACCACCAAGCGGCCCCCCAGGTGCCCAAACAGGGCCGTGCTCCTCAGCTCGCTGCTGCTGGAGATGGAGGCCAGGTTCTGGATGAACATGGCCTTGTTCCTGGCCTGGAGGGTCCCAAAGGGCCTGGGGCTGCCGTGCGGGAAGGTGCCGGGGTGGGCCTTGCCGTGGAACTCGGCCCGCTCGGTGACACCCAGGGACACCATGAAGGAGCTCTGCACCTTGACCTTGATGTCGGCCAGGGGGTTGAACAGGGAGGACTCGGTCATCAGCTCCTTGTCCAGGGGGTCCTGCAGGCAGATGGGGCCGCTGTAGGTCCTGCTGACCGTCAGCTCGGGCTGCAGGGACGAGTTGAGGAGCAGGGAGTTACCTGTGGGGACAGCAGCAGGGAGGGAGGGTGAGAGGAATGGGGGGTTTGTGTTTCCAAACCAGCCGGTGGATAAAACCAGCGCTGGGAGAGAAAAGAAACGATGGGAAGGATTCCACTGATTGATGAATGGAAAAAGAGATTTGCTTTTAGAAATCAACTTTAGGTTTGCTGGTAAATGAATTTAGACATTGAAAGGTGAAGGAAACAATGAGGAAAACCCCCTAAATTCTGTAAGAATTAAAAATTAATTTTAATTTTACATTAGAGGGAAATTAATTTTAAATTTACATTAGATGGTTTTACATTAGAGGGAAATCTTTGGGATCAGGTGTTCTGGGAAGTCTGAACCTTTCAAGTACCTCAGAAATGGGGAAAAACCCCTAAATTCTGTAAGAATTAAAAATTAAAAGGGAGGGTTATGCATTAGAGGGAAATCTTTGGGATCAGGTGTTCTGGGAAGTCTGAACCTCTCAAGTACCGCAGAAATGGGAAAAAACCCTGAATTCCATAAGAATTAATAATTAAAAGGGAGGGTTATGCATTAGAGGGAAATCTTTGGGATCAGGTGTTCTGGGAAGTCTGAACCTCTCAAGTACCTCAGAAATGGGGAAAGAGAGAAGGGAAATGTGGCTGGAAATTGGGATAAAAAGGGAGGCTGCGTCCTCCAAAAATCTGAGAGACCCCAGGGGATGCCCCATGGCCTCTGCCTGTATTGGAATAAAGTCAAAGGACTCCTCTGTCTCCTTTTTGGACACAAACCTCTGCTGTTTGTGGATTCATTTTCCCGACAAGGAGACACCTCAGCAACCCTCCCTGAGCTCTCAGAGCCCCAAATCCCTGTTGGATTTTGCAAACACAAAGTGTCAGATCTTGGCCCAGTTCCTCCCAAAACACCAGGCCACGTCAGAGAGCAGAACCGGTGCCCGGATCTGACACTTGGTGTTTGCCAGGGCTCAGGCAGCTCCAGAGTGCAGGAATAACCCAAGCAGGAGCCTCCTTTGGTTTGGATTCAGTCGTTGTGTTTGCCCCTTGCCTCTCTTGTTGTTTTCTTTCCTTACATTCATCCCCACTGGGTGACAACGTCTTCCTGCAGACCTTCTACACAAACCCACAGCTTCGTGCCTGAGGGAAACTGGGCTGAAAGGGAGGGGGGACAAGAGTGATACAGGGAAAGACACCACAGTTATTCATTTTGAGGTGTTTTACCTCAGAAAATGCTCTGAAAAATGAAAAGTGCATGGTTTTAGGGCCTGAGTCCTCTGGCTGCTTGGTTTTATGGTGGGGTCTTTTTCTTTGGTTGTTTAGTTGGGTATTTTCAGAGCCTCCAGAATGAAAGGTTTTAAGCATTAAGCCAAGCAAACAATTCCCCAGACTCAAAACAAGACTCAGACTGAACCACAAAGGAAAATGTTCTTGTTTGAGACAGTCATTGAGATTTACACAGCCCTAATTAAAGGTTTGGATTTAGAAATGGATGAATGAACTTCCTTCAAACGTCCTTGTCTGCCAAGCCCTTTTGCCAATTTCTTGCAAGTCATGCTTGGTGAGGAACGTCTCCAGGAAATAAAGAAACTGTAAAAACAACCCCACAAAACCCCCCCAAACAAACTCTGCAACATATTTCCCTTTTCTGAAGAGAGAACAGAGACATGGGGACACTTTCACAGCCTGCCCACGCTCCCACCCACCCACAATCAGGCAGGTCTGAGGTAGAATGGCAGCACAGAATCAATAAACATCCTGCTTCCATCCCCGCTCCTCTCCCTCCCCACCTTCCTGTTCTGAGGGAATAACATTCCTGGAAACCTGAGCGCTGCTTTTAGCAAAGGTTTTGTCCATATTTTATGGCACTGGTGGTGTTTTCTAGACCTTCAGGGGTCCAGTTTTACACAAATTGATTTCCCTCAGTGCCTGTGTTACAGCAGGTTACAAAACATTTCCAGCTGGGGGTCTCGGATTATCAGGAAAAGAATAATTCCTTTTATTGGAGTGAAGGAAAACTCTGTAACTGAGAACAGGAGGAGCTCCAGCTGTGCTGCCCGGGCTTGCTCTGATTTGGTTGCTTGGCTTTAATTTGAGCTTTTCCTAAATCAGTGTCGGAGCTGAGGATTTTGGAAGGGACATGGAGATTTTGGATGCTGGACAGCACTCCTAAAGCATGTGGAGCATGGCCAAGGAGGATCCTGGGTTTGTGGGACAGAGCAGAGCCAATTCCAGATCCCTGTCCCTGTCCCCCAAACCCCCTCCCCAAACACAGGCGAGTCTGAGCAGTGGGAGCTGCTCTGATTTGGTTGCTTGGCTTTAATTTGAGCTTTTCCTATATCAGTGGAGGAGCTGGGGATTTTGGATGCTGGACAGCATTTCTAGAGCATCTGGAGTGTGGCCAAGGAGGATCCTGTGTTTGTGGGACAATTCCAGATCCCTGTGCTCATCCCAGCTCCTGCACCCCGGTGATCCCATCCTCCTTCCACACCACCAGGGTGGATCAGAAGTTAACAGGGCCGTTTTCCACTGGGTACCACTGCAGTCAAACTGCTTTATCTTGCTCTCAGGAGAGTGCGGGGATGTGTTTGGCATCTGCCACACAACACAGAGCCTTGGTGATGCCCTGACTCCATCAAACCCCCTCCCCAAACGCAGGCGAGCCCGAGCAGCGGGAGCCCTGCAGAGAAGAAAGGAAATCGCCGCACTAACCTTGTCTGACTGTTTTAAAATTAAAAGTCTGGAAGCCTCCCGTGAGTGCAGAGGAATCAATGACATCCACGCCGTACTCACTCTGACTGCGCCGGTACAGGGTCACCCCCAGCGCCAGCACGGCCACCGCCAGCACCGCTGCCGCCAGCCCCGAGTACAGCGCCACGTCCGCGCCGCGCTCCACGTCTGCGGAGAGACAGGGTCAGCAACAGGGGGATGTGGGGGACAAGAGCTGTGTCGGGGACAGGGGGGATGGGGGGATGTAGGGGATGTGGGGGACAAGAGCTGTGTCAGGACAGGGGGGATGTGGGGATGTAGGGGATGTGGGGGACAAGAGCTGTGTCAGGGACAGGGACACAGGACACAGGGACATGTGGGGACATGTGGGGACATGGGAAATATGAGGGATATCAGGGGACACAGAGGGACAAGAACTGTGTCAGACACAGGGACATGGGGACATGGGGACATGGGGGACATGGGGGATGTGGGGGGACAAGAGCTGTGTCAGGGACAGGGGACATGGGGGGACATGGGGGACACAGGGGGATGTGAGGACATGGGGGATGTGGGGGGACAAGAGCTGTGTCAGGGACAGGGACACAGGGCACGGGGACATGTGGGGACATGGGAGATGTGAGCGATATCGGGGACATGGAGGGACAAGAGCTGTGTCAGGGACACGGGGACATGGGGGGATAGGGGAACATGGGGGGACATGGGGGACCAAGTTGGAGCTGGGCACAGAAGCAGGGGCAGCACTGGATAACAAGGGCTGAGAGGGTGAGCAGAATCCCCGATGGAGCACCCCAGCCTGGAGAGCCTGTTTGGGTTTGGGGATGGCTCACCCCAGCCTGGAGAGCCTGTTTGGGTTTGGGGATGGCTCACCCCAGTCTGGAGAGCCTGTTTGAGTCTGGGGATGGCTCACCCCAACCTGGAGAGCCTGTTTGGGTTTGGGGATGGCTCACCCCAGTCTGGAGAGCCTGTTTGAGTCTGGGGATGGCTCACCCCAACCTGGAGAGCCTGTTTGGGTTTGGGGATGGCTCACCCCAACCTGGAGAGCCTGTTTGGTTTTGGGGATGGCTCACCCCAGCCTGGAGAGCCTGTTTGGGTTTGGGAATGGCTCACCCCAGCCTGGAGAGCCTGTTTGGGTTGGGGATGGCTCACCCCAGCCTGGAGAGCCTGTTTGGGTTTGGGAATGGCTCACCCCAGTCTGGAGAGCCTGTTTGGGTTTGGATGTGGATCACCCCAACCTGGAGAGCCTGTTTGGGTTTGGGGATGGCTCACCCCAACCTGGAGAGCCTGTTTGGGTTGGGGATGGCTCACCCCAGTCTGGAGAGCCTGTTTGGGTTTGGGGATGGATCACCCCAGCCTGGAGAGCCTGTTTGGGTTTGGGTGTGGATCACCCCAGCCTGGAGAGCCTGTTTGGGTTTGGGAATGGCTCACCCCAACCTGGAGAGCCTGTTTGGGTTTGGGGAGAAGGAATTGACTGCTGTGACAGAATGACCCCAAATGAATCCTGCAATAATCCATAACTGAAATATCCCATCCCATTCTCCTCCATCTGCTGGGATTTGTGCACCATGGAATTAAATCTCTTGGCACATCCCCTAGGAGGGTCCCTGGGAGGTTCCCTGAATTCCCAGCTCCAGGGTGAGGGCAGGGAGCTCAGAGCCCACCCTGGGCAGGGTCTGGGTCCTGCTGGGGGCTTCTCCTCCACAGCAGAGCCCCAGGAACAGAAACTGGATTTGTTCATGGCCAACGAGAGCAGCGAAAGCTAACTGGGAAATCCAGAGTGCTCCAGAGTGTCAGTGAATGAACTGCACTGCACAGAAATAGGGTGCAAAGTTAAAAATCAGCGTTTAATAAACAGCCAATTACAGAAATTACTTAATTACTGCTTGGGAGGAGGCTTCTGTTGTGCTTTTCTGCTGAAAGTCAGATAATTTCATTTTAGCTGAGTTTTGAAAACGAACGTGAAACTTCAGAGTGTTGAGATGAAAGGAACCAGCACCTCTGGGCAGCATTTCCTTGGCTCAACACTTTCTGACAAAAAAGAAGTGTCTGAAAAGTGCCACCAGCCCCAGCTGGATGTCCTGGGAAGGGATATCCAGCAGGGAAATGGCAGCACCAGTCCCTAAACCCTGAATTTCAGGGACTGAATTTCAGCTGGGCACTCCAATCCAAAGGAAAATCAAAGGTTTGGTTCAAACATCCGTGGCAGAAAACATCCCTCCTATCCCCACTCTCCAACTGGTCCCAGTCAGCCCAACCATGAGATTCCAGCACCCACTCAACCCAAAAGAGACACTTGGATATCAGTTTTACCAGAATCACTCAACCAAGAAAATACTGCAAAATTTCTGCTGTATTTTCGAGTCATCTGCAAATGAAAAATGGTTCTGCTTTTAACATGTTTACAAGTTGCTGGGAAGGAAAAAGAAAAATCACAATATTTGCATGGAAACATCAGCTTTGGGGAGGAATCCACCTTCTGTGGCAGGCCAGGAAACCAACACTGAGCAAACTTGTAAGGTTACAAAATTCAGATTCCTAGAACAATTCCATTGCCACATGGTTCCACCAACTCAATCACTAAAAGAGAAATGTTTGGGGTTTTTTTCCCTGCAACCTTTTTTTCCCTTTTTTTTCCCCATGAGATCCCTCCTTAAAAATGCTGTAAAGAGAATTTTAAGCTCAGTTAGGGATCCAATCAAAAGTAAAATCAAAGATTTGGTTCAAACACCCTTGACAGAAAACGTCCCCCTCATCTCCACCCTCCAACTGATCCCAACCAGCCCAGCCATGAGATTCCAGCACCCACTCAACCCAAAAAGAGATGTTTGGGTATCAGTTTTACCAGAACCACTTAACCAGAAGAAATACTGAAAGAAAACACTTCCTGCAAGAGTATTTCCCTACTTTGCAAGAAAATACTCCTGCAAAATTCCTGCTGTATTTTCGAGTAATCCGCAAATGAAAAACGGTTCTGCTTTTAACTTGCTGGGAAGGAAAAAGAAAAATCACAATATTTGCATGGAAACATCAGCTTTGGGGAGGAATCCACCTTCTGTGGCAGGCCAGGAAACCAACACTGAGCAAACTTGTAAGGTTACAAAATTCAGCTTCCTAGAACAATTCCATTGCCACATGGTTCCACCAACTCAATCACTAAAAGAGAAATGTTTGGGGTTTTTTTCCCTGAAACATTTTTTTCCCTTTTTTTTTTCCCCATGAGATCCCTCCTTAAACAGGCTGTAAAGAGAATTTAAAGCTCAGTTAGGGATCCAATCAAAAGTAAAATCAAAGATTTGGTTTAAACACCCTTGACAGAAAATGTCCCCCTCATCTCCACCCTCCAACTGATCCCAACCAGCCCAACCATGAGATTCCAGCACCCACTCAACCCAAAAGAGATGTTTGGGTATCAGTTTTAGCAGAACCACTTAACCAGAAGGAATACTGAAAGAAAACACTTCCTGCAAGAGTATTTCCCTACTTTGCAAGAAAATACTCCTGCAAAATTTCTGCCGTATTTTCGAGTCATCTGCAAATGAAAAATGGTTCTGCTTTTAACACGTTTACAAGCTGCTGGGAAGGAAAAAGAAAAATCACAATATTTGCATGGAAACATCAGCTTTGGGGAGGAATCCACCTTCTGTGGCAGGCCAGGAAACCAACACTGAGCAAACTTGTAAGGTTACAAAATTCAGCTTCCTAGAACAATTCCATTGCCACATGGTTCCACCAACTCAATCACTAAAAGAGAAATGTTTGGGGTTTTTTTCCTGAAACATTTTTTTCCCTTTTTTTTTTTTCCCCATGAGATCCCTCCTTAAAAATGCTGTAAAGAGAATTTAAAGCTCAGTTAGGGATCCAATCAAAAGTAAAATCAAAGATTTGGTTTAAACACCCTTGACAGAAAACGTCCCCCTCATCTCCACCCTCCAACTGATCCCAACCAGCCCAGCCATGAGATTCCAGCACCCACTCAACCCAAAAGAGATGTTTGGGTATCAGTTTTACCAGAACCACTTAACCAGAAGAAATACTGAAAGAAAACACTTCCTGCAAGAGTATTTCCCTACTTTGCAAGAAAATACTCCTGCAAAATTCCTGCTGTATTTTCGAGTAATCCACAAATGAAAAATGGTTCTGCTTTTAACACGTTTACAAGCTGCTGGGAAGGAAAAAGAAAAATCACAATATTTGCAGGGAAACATCAGCTTTGGGGAGGAATCCACCTTCTGTGGCAGGCCAGGAAACCAACACTGAGCAAACTTGTAAGGTTACAAAATTCAGCTTCCTAGAACAATTCCATTGCCACATGGTTCCACCAACTCAATCACTAAAAGAGAAATGTTTGGGGTTTTTTTCCCCTGAAACATTTTTTTCCCTTGAGATCCCTCCTTAAAAATGCTGTAAAGAGAATTTAAAGCTCAGTTAGGGATTGCAGAGAGTGAGAAACTGGCTGGCAATGTAAGAAGGAGACAGGCCAGACAGAAAAAGCAAAGAAAAAGGGGCCACACAGGCAAACTGGAAATGTCTCAGATGGGACCAAAACCACACAAAACCCAATCCAAAGCCCCTCTCCCCCAGCCCTGTTTTGTTCCCCAGCACCAGGTGCAGAAAGGGAAGTGCAGGCAATAATTACATTTCTATTTCTTCCAATTTCCTATTCCCAAGTTGCTTTGTTGTTACAGGGAATTAATTACGAGTTGCTATTGTTGAGTTAATTTCTGTGGGTAATTAGAGCAATGAGTGAGGCAGGAGGAGGGAGGGGATGGATCTCCAGGAACAATTGGGGTGTTTCCCTTCCCAGGGAGAGCTCCTGGGTTTTGCACCACAAAGCATCTCCAACTCTTCCCTTTGGATCACTGCTTTCAAAAAGGAAAGTGCTGAAAATGGGGATTATCCTATCCCTCCTGCCCTGCTGGGATGATAAATGATCGAGTCTGAGAGAGGCAGAAATATCCTGGCAGGAAAAGCTTCCAGCCCCAGGGGGAGGATCCCAGAGCTGATCTCCTGCTCCTCAGGTGCTCTGGAATTGCCTCCAAATCCCCTCAGGGAGTTCAGCATCTCCCTCCCCATCCATTCCCATGTCAGGCAATTCCCCTTTCCCGCTTTTACACGGTTGTGCATGGGTTAAAAACGAGAGGGAGGGCACGAAATCCAAAAAAAATGGGAGCGGTTGGACTCAAGCAAAATCTTTCTGAGGAGAAGAATTCTCTTTTCATTGACTCTGAAATATCTCCAGGGCTTGAATTGGAGGCTGGTCTATAAATTTGATGATTGAAGCCTCCTGAGGGCCCTTCCCTGGAATGAGCTGGTGGTTGCTGCGTTCCCAGCGCTGCCCCAGTGCCAGGAAAAGCCTCTCAAAGCTCAGGGGAACAGAGCTCAGAGGATCCTCCTCAGGGTTTAGTGGGGTTTTAAGCAGCTTTATGCTAAAAGGGCAAACCCAGAGTGGCTCAGTATTCCTGGAATTATTCCCATGGAACGCAGCTCCATGAGAAAGGAGCCTTTCTTTTGGGATTTTGGTGTTTCTTTAGAAACAGCCACTGGTTTGTTGTTGTTGTTGTTTTGGGGGTTTTTTTTAAGTAATTTTTACCTCTTTACCTTCTGATCTTTTCTTTTGGAGAACTCCTTCCATGGAAAATTAGAAATTAAGGGAGGAAGGAAGGCATGGGAAATCTGGGGGAGCGGGGTGAGGTTCTGTTTTTCCCTTTTTCCCAGAAGGGAACAAAGTGGAAAGCAACCAAACAAACCAGAAAAGCAAACATTTATAGTCCACCAATTATTCCTTAATGAGCTGCATCCTCCAGGCCTGGGGGTGGGAGGGACCCTGGCAGGCACCACAAATTTTATCCCTTTCTGCTCCAGGATCCATGTTTGTGGTAATTGCAGCCCATTTTTCACTCCACCTCCTGCCACTGTTACACAACATTTATTGAAAGCGCATTTGATGGTAATGAAGTTTCTATTAACTATGATTAAGTTTCATAAAGCACCTGAAGATAATTTAAGATGTGCAGGAGCAGAAAGTGAAACATTTGGTTTAGTGCATTAGGAGAGGTAATTGATTAAATTATCTCATTTCCAAGCAGAGCCGTGCAGGGCCCACCTCCCCTGCTCCAGCAGGGAGGGCAGGGCTGGGAGATGGGCAGCAGACCCCAGAGGTTCTTCCCAGGTTCTTCCCATCCCTCCCACAGCCCCAAGCCCTTCTCCTCACTTTTGGAGCACAAGGATCACGAGTCAGGGCCTTGGGGAAGAGATCCTTCAGTGGAACAGGCTGTGCCTCAAGGAGCTTCATCCCTGGCTCTGATTTTGCATCCTGGAGCAGCTCCTGCTCCGTGAGCTCTGTGTCCCTGCCCTCCTGGGACCTCTGCTGCTCACAGGGACCCTGAGATGTGTTCAAGTCTCTTTTCCCAGCCTGGCAGGCAAAGAAGGAGTCAGAGCTCTTCTATTCTCGCTCTCAAGGTTGCTTATTGCTCCTTATCTATAAAATTCTTTCTCTGCCCTGCCAAGGTTCATTCAGCAGGTAAGACAAGGAGGAAGGTAAAATTCCTGCTGGTGTCCCACCCTGGCACAGCTCAAGGCCCTTTCCAGGGGTAAATTCCTGCTGATGTCCCACCCTGGCAATGCCCTACAGCCTTTTCCATGAGGAAATGCTTCCTGATGTCCCACCCTGGCAATGCCCTTTTCCAGGAGGAAATTCCTGCTGATGTCCCTGGCAATGCCCTACAGCCTTTTCCATGAGGAAATTCCTGCTGATGTCCCATCCGGGCACAGCTCAAGGCCTTTTCCAGAGGGAAATTCTTCCTGATGTCCCACCCTGGCACAGCCTGAGGCCCTTTCCAGGGGTAAATTCCTGCTGATGTCCTACCCTGGCAATGCCCTACAGCCCTTTCCATGAGGAAATTCCTGCTGATGTCCCATCCTGGCACAGCTCAAGGCCTTTTCCAGAGGGAAATTCTTCCTGATGTCCCACCCTGGCACAGCTCAAGGCCCTTTCTATGAGGAAATTCCTGCTGATGTCCCACCCTGGCACAGCTCAAGGCTGTCCCCTCTCCTCCTGGCCCCTGTCCCCCTGCTCTCCTGCCCTGTTGGGGTTGGCAGAGCTGCAGGTGCACGGCAGAGCAGCCCTGAGATGATGCCAGGCACAGAAACACCCTCCAGGTGAGACAGGAGGGAGCTGAGCAGGACCAGAACTGCACCAGGAACCCCAAATTCCGGCAGAAATTCCTTTTTTCCCAATTCCAGAGGTTGATCCTGAGCTGAGCATGCCCTGAGCCAGGGCTCCCTGTCAGACAGGAATTGCTGAGGATGATCCCCTGGCTCACTGAACCTGCAGATGCTAAAGCCTCTCATAAAACCTTGGCTCCTCCTTAGCTCCTGAACAAACAACCCAAACAGCAAAGGAGATGAGGGAAATCATATTTACAAGAGAAAAAAAAAAAAAAAGAACTTTGGGATTTTAATTCATGAGGTTTTTTATCTGAGAGGGAGAGAAAGAGAGGAAGCTGCACTTAATAAATTTACATGGAGCATATCTATCTCCTATATTGCTTCTATATAAATGAAACATTTTCTCCTCGTTTGCTGACAATATGAATATTTTATGCTGTCCATGTTTTTCTCTTCATCTTCTCTTTTTTTCTTTCTTTTTTTTTTCCCCTTAAATCCCTATCAGGAAGTTCCTTTGCAGCAATTTCTCACTTGGTTAATTCAGGTTATTTGTTGGCTCTATTGGATGCTGTTGTTTATTTACACCTCAGCAAGAAGGAAGTTCAATACCTTGCAGTGGATCATTGGCAAAGAAACTCAGGTCGGAATTAATGATTCCTTTGTGTGTTTGATGCATGGAAAGGCTGGTGATGGGCACTTAAATTGGTTACAAGCTATAAAAATGCCTGGTTTATTCACATTTTTGTACCAAACACCCCCAAAAACGGCATTTCTCTGTGTGTGCATGAACACACACATCCATGTGCCCCCAGCAGATGGAAACATGGGATAAAAGGGGGTTTTCCTATTTTCCCCATTTTTCTGTAGGACTGCAGCTCTCAAAACTGAGCCTGCTCTGCCTCCCTCATGCCAAACACTTGAGCCACCATTTATAACCTAAAACCTGCCAAAGTAATCCCTAAAATTGGGAGACTCGGGCGGATTATGAGGCTCCTTCTCTTCATTTTAATATTTGTGAGGATGCTCAGTTTAGAAACACTTAACCCAGAAGATTGTTGGATTTTGGCTTTGCCTTTTTTTTTGGACGAGGTTTTTATTTCCTGCCCGAGGTTGGCTTTGCCTTTGCAGGAAAATGAGGCACAAAAAGACCCAGAGAGGAGGGTGAGACTGGAGGGTTTGCAGTGGAGCAAACCCTTCCCTGCTGCTGGCAGGGGCTGCCTGCACCAAACTGCAAAGGGAAAAGCATTTCCCATGGAAATGGAGATTCCTGCATCCAGGAGCCTCCTGGCAACAGCAGCAGCGCTGCTGGGGAAATGGAAAACAAAATGATTTGTGATTGTGCTGTGATTATTGGGGGTGCATTAGTAAAAACATGTTTGCAGGTCAGTCCCTGTGGCCCTACTTGTTTGTTTTGGTTTTGGGCACTGGGAGAAGAAATCAATAGGTTTTGAAGTCGGGAGAAATAGCTTTAAAGCAAACAGATAAAAGTGAAACAAAAAGCTCTCAAAAAAACAAAAATCCTCTCTTTTATTAAGCAGAGAGAAAGCTTTCACCTCTGCAGGAAAGAGAGAAATCCAGGCTGGCAAAGCATCCAACTGGGAATCCTGGCAGGGAATAAACACTGGGAGAACAAACGTGCTGGACACCAGTGAGGTGCTGGGAGTGTCTGGGGCCAGAGCATCCCTGCATTGTCACATCTTTTATGGAAAATCCTTTCCTTAGGATTTCTCCTCCTGAGAAGCTGAGAGGCCTCAGGAACAAAATACAAACAATGGTTATCTGCTGCTGTGGAATGCAACAGGTGCATCTGGGATTGGTCTCATGTGGTTGTTTCTAATTAATGGCCAATCACAGCCCAGCTGGCTCGGACAGAGAGCTGAGCTACAAACCTTTGTTATCATTCCATTCTTTTTCTATTCTTAGCTAGCTTCTGATGAAATCCTTTCTTCTATTCTTTTAGTATAGTTTTAATATCATATAAATCATAAAATAATAAATCAGCCTTGTGAAACATGGAGTCAGATCCTCATCTCTTCCCTCATCCAAAAACCCCTGTGAGCACGGTCACAGAGAGACACCCCAGGATCAGCACAGTCCCCGAGAGCTGAGTGAATGGCACTGCTCCCAAACCCTCTCTGGTTATTCTTTCTTAAAACACAGGGAAGGAAAAAAAAAATTAAATTACATTTCTGTCCTTGGACACCTTGGAGCTGTTCTGTAGCCCTGGGAATTTTAAGTGCTGGGATCCACAGCCAGAGTGCTGAGTGTTCCTCCTTCCAAACCCCAGCAAAATCTGATTGAAGCTATCTCTGAAGCCTGAATAAACACACAGGATGCTCTCTGCCACTGGGAAAGTATTAAAACCCAGGGCAAAAAAAAAAAGAGCGAGTTCATTTTGTTTATAAGAGAAAAGGCAATGCAGAACCATAGAAACAAGGACAGAGGGCTGGTTAAACACAGCATTACACAAAACAGACACATCCTTGTTTACATCTCCCAGCCCTGGCGCTCCTGATGGCTCCCGGGGCTGCTGTTCCACCTGACAAGGTGACAGCACAGGGACAGGAGAGGGCTCAGGGCAGGGATAAACTCACAAATTCCTGCCCAGCTCCCCGTGCTGGGGAGGGACAGCAGCAGCTTCCCAGTGCCAGATGCTTCCCATGCACTGGCTGTGAAAAATGCACGTGGTTTACGATTGGCTTTTCGTAAATATTCAAACGAATATTATATGTGTTGTGTTGGAAAGTAATGCTGTGTTAATTCTCTTAAGTAGTGTGTTAAATATAGTTTTAGGTTATAAAAAAATTGTTAAAATAGAAAATGTGCTATGTAGGATACTTTTTTTAAAGAAAGGACTCGCACTGAGATAGCAGCCACAGGACACCTGAATCTTTCAGAGAAAAAGAATTTATTGCCCTCTTATCAGAAGAAACGAACTTCTTCCTGCCTCGAAGGTGCTGTCAGGATTCAGAGGAAGAAGCTGACACTGCCCAGACAGAATCCTGTGTTTGAATGGAATTTATGCATCATGGATTAAGTGTATGAATATGCAACAGGCTGTTGCTTTTAAGGGTTAATCCTCTGTTAACGTGGGTCCTTTTCCAGGCTTATTTTGCCCAGAAAAAGGTACCCAGACGTCCGTAACTCTTTGTATTTATTGTCTCATATTGTCCTAATTCAAATTGTGCAAATTATTATCACTCTAACTGTATTACTATTTTTATAACCATTTTATTACTATTAAACTTTTAAAATTTCAATAAAACAAGCGATTGGCATTTTTCACACTGGTGAAGGGCAAAGCCTTTCCCAGGGAGCTGCAGCTCTGCCTGGGTTTAGCTCCTGCTGAATGCAGCAAAAGGAACAAACTCCGACCTTGGCCGGTGCCTGCACCCGCAGCAATCCCGGGGGCTTTGCCCGTTTGCTTGCAGGGAAAGGCTGAGGAGCACGTTTGGTTATGGGGGCGGGAGTTCCAGCCTGCAAACCCCCTGGATTTGGGATTTTAGCATCACCTGATCATTCACAGGCAGAGAACGAGCAACAAAAATCCAGAGACCTGGAAGATTTCAAACTCTGCACGGAAAACCAGAAAACCATGTCTGTTGTGTTGTGATTTCAGGGTTTACCTCAGAACCTTGGGTTCCCCCCGATAATTCCCTGCCAGGTGTGTCAGTCACCTCTCCTTCCCCTCCCAGCACTGTCTGTCAGTCCTGGCATTCCAGAAGGGCCTCGAGTGATTGGGCAGATCCAAAGGATGCCCTCTACCCCTGGGGGGCCCTGGGCCATCCAGGTGTCCTTTGTCCCTTTGTCCCTCCCCTCCTGTCCCTGCTTGGTGCCTCCCTGCCCCTTCCCTGCCCCTCTCCCCGGGGTTCAAAGGAGCAGCAGCCACGGGCTCAGGGAGTTCTGTGGGAGCTGGTGCTGCATTCAGAGGCCTGAGGGCCAGAATAAAGCTCTGGATCCAAACCCTCCCTCAGAACCGACTCCTTTCCTTCACCATGGCCTGAAAGCTTCTCCACAGAGGGAAACCTGAGGGGCAGCCCCTGTTATGGGGGGAAGCTCCATCCCAGCAGCACCAGAGCTCCTGCAGGCCTGGACTTGTCTGCAGGGCCCAGCTGCAGCACCCAGGCAGCCCAAAGTGTCTGTGGGGTGAAACACCACACACCCAGGCAGCCCAAAGTGTCTGTGGGGTGAAACACCACACACCCAGGCAGGCAAAAGTGTCTGTGGGGTGAAACACCACACACCCAGGCAGCCCAAAGTGTCTGTGGGGTGAAACACCACACACCCAGGCAGGCAAAAGTGTCTGTGGGGTGAAACACCACACACCCAGGCAGGCAAAAGTGTCTGTGGGGTGAAACACCACAGTTGCTGCTGTTTGGTTCAGCACCAAGGGCCAGACAAGCTCAGGCAGATCCCATCTGGTGCCAGCTGAGGGCTGTGTACAAATCACCAACAGGACAGGACTGCTGGGAACGTGCCTTGAGCTGTTTGATTTTCCAGCATCAGCCTCATTCCATGGTTATGACAATGGGAAGATGCCACCAGCTCACATCCCAGGCAGCAGACCAAGAAATTAATGTTACAACTCACTTTAAAAGTGTTTTGACCAATCCCACAATGCAAAAGCACACTGACAGTAGTTCTATCCAACCACTATAAGCACAGGTACCTTTGGTTAAACAATGCTTGCTTATTTCAAATACAATCCCTGCTTGTGAGCCTTCAAACACAATGCACAGAGCTCCATTATTAAGCTTAGAACTTCCTAATATCTCACTAGATAAACTTTTCTGTAGCTTAGAGAGTTATTCTAGACAAGCATTAATACACAGACCATTGTTCTATTTGTCCTTGCTTTTCTACAGTTTAAATAATTTTTCTGCTGCCCAATCTCATGGCTGCTGCTCAGCTCCAATCCCAGTTCTGCTGCCTCTGAGGCCTTTTGCAGCTTTCCCAAACCCCTCTGATTCTGTAGATTCCCACAATATCCACAATATCGCTAAATATTCCACTACACGTCCCTTTCCACGGGAGTATCTCAGACACAGGAGCCCCACCCAAAGAGGTTCCCCGTCCTTCAGCCCCCCTCTCAGGCCCTGCCCAGCCCCGTGGCAGCTCACCTTGGATGCAGAGCCCCTCGGTGCAGTTCTCGGACTCCTGGCTCAGGCCCTCGCAGTGCTTGCCGCCGTTGCGGGGCGCGGGCGCGGCGCACTCCCGCACGCGCAGGTGCTCGCACTCGGGGCTGCACACCGACCACTCGCTCCACACCTCCCAGCTGCCGTCCACTGCCCGGGGAAAAGCGCGGTCAGCAGCTCCCGCAGCAGCGCTTGTTGCATCTCTCCCCCTCCGTAATTCCACGTCTAACGCGCTCCCGAGCAAACTTTCGCGGGATAAATAGTGCGTTTCACGAAGCTCTCAGCTCTGTGTTTCTCTTTCTGGTGTTCTTAACATCAGCTCCCCGTCTCTGCACTAACCCCAGACCCCCACCCATATCCCTGTTTTCTCCCCGAGCTGTTCTGGCAGGGTTTTGGGGGTGCCAGGAGCAGGAACAGCAGATTTGTGTTTCCAAACAAGCTGTGGGCCTGCTGGGAGATAAAACCAGCACTGGGAGAGAAAAGAAACAACGGGAAGGATTCCACTGATGGGTGAATGGAAAAAGAGATTTGCTTTTACAAATAAACTTTAGGTTTGCTGATTAATGAAATTAGACATTAATGGGGAAGAAAAACCCCTAAATTCAGTAAGAATTAAAAATTTAAAGGGAGGGTTATACATTAGAGGGGAATCTTTGGGATCAGGTGTTCTGGGAAGTCTGAACCTCTCAAGCACCTCAGAAATGGGGAAAGAGAGAAGGGAAATGTGGCTGGAAATTGGGATAAAAAGGGAGGCTGCATCCTGCAAAAATCTGAGAGACCCCAGGGGATGCCCCATGGCCTCTGCCTGTATTGGAATAAAGTCAAAGGACTCCTGTGTGTCCTTTTTGGACATAAACCTCTGGTCTTTGTGGATTCATTTTCCTAACACGGGGTAAGATCCAGCCTGCCCACAGGTGCCTGGCACTGCACCCACACCCAAACCCACACCCAAACCCACACCAAACCCACACCAGGCTGGGCCAAAACACCACCGCATTTCCCTCTCCCTTCCCAGCTCCCTGCTGGCTCCTTCCCACCGAAAGCTGAGGCCCCCAGAGCCCTCCCTGGCTGGGACTCACCGGGGCAGAGGGAGGTGCAGGTGATTTTCTGCACGGACATGCCCTCGCAGAAGGCTCCCCCGTTGAGGGGCGCGGGGTTGGTGCAGGTGCGCGAGCGTTTCTGCCAGCCCCGGCCGCAGCGCGCGTTGCAGCTGGACCACTCCGTCCACGAGGACCAGCCCCCGTTCACTGCAAAACACCAGCGGGGCAGGGGGGCTGAGGGGCTGGGGGGCTGTGCCAGAGCCCCCCAGGACCAAACCCAAACCCATCCCAGCAGGAAGGGCTTGGCTGGGTGCAGCAGTTCATTTGGGGGTCCCCTAAGCTGGATGTTGGCTGGTAGCAGCAGGCAGGCAAGGAGACTCCACACGGCTTCTGAAGGTGCTAATTAGATGAGGGTGCTAATTATTGAGGGGGGTCCCAGCCCTAGGAGCAGCATGGTTTCTGAGGGAGAAGGGGGGAAGAGGGAGGGAGGGGAAGAGAGGGAGAGCCTAAGGAGAAAAGCTCCAAGAGGGAGTCTGGTGTCCCTCGCACAGCCTAACAGGGAGATTCAAAGTGGGTGCAGAATAAGACTTGGGCCAAGGGCATTACAGATCCATGACTTTCAGGGGAGGATCATAGGCTTGGAAAAAACATTTTAGAGGGGTGAGACAGAGCATGCCATTTAACTAACATGTAACACCACAATCCACCCATTTCTGTTAGAAAGAAAAGATGAAGATAAATAAGTGCCAAGAAAGCGTTTGTGGTCTCCCCCTCACAGCTTAACAGGGAGATTCAAAGTGGGCACAGAATAAGCCTTGGGCCAAGGGCATTACAGATCCATGATTTTCAGGAGAGGAACACAGGCTTGGAAAAAACATTTTAGAGGGGTGAGCTAGAGCGTACCATTTCACTAAAATGCAAATTCACCCATTTTTTGTCAGAAAGAAAAGATGAAGACAAATAAGTGCCAAGAGATCATCTGTGGTCTCCCCGGCACATCTTAACGGGGAGATTCAAAGTGGGCACAGAATAAGCCTTGGGCCGATGGGATTACAGATCCATGGTACTTCAGGGGAGGACCACAAGCTTGGAACAAACATTTTTGAGGGGTGGGACAGAGCAAATGCCATATAACTAACACGTAACCCCGCAGCTGGGCGATCCCGCGTGTGCCGGGCTTGAATCAGCGCAGCAATAACAGCGCAAATCAAAGCACAGCCACCTCTGCCCCCCAGCCCTGTCACTGACCATAGACCACCACGGTGGCTGACAGGCTCCTCCTCTTGGCCACGATGTTGGCAGCCATGCAGGTGTAGTTGCCCGAGTCGGACAGGCGTGCCTGGCGGATGATGAGGTTGTGGTCGGCCCTGGTGTCGATGTTCTCGTCCAGGTTGGAGTCGATGGGCTCCTCGTTCTTCAGCCACTCCACCTGGCAGGGAGGAGCACAGGAAAACGTGGGGCAGGCCAAAGGCACCTCATGAGCGCGTTAATTGGGTGGGGAAATGCTTCCTTTGGCTGGTAACTTTTTCCTCAAGGAACATGGAATAAAATCTCAGCCGAGAGAGAACAGGAAACCCTCCCAACAGTATTTTTACATATTGCTCCTTCTGCACCATGCACTGGATGTTCAAACACTTGGACAGCTACCAGTTCTATAAAACAGATAACAAGCATTATCAATTCACTTTTTTTGTGTGAAGAAACAGGAAGATGAAATTGCCTGACAGGGCATACAGAGGAAAAGTTGATTTTTTCCTCAAGGAATGTGGAATAAAATCTCAGCCGAGAGAGAACAGGAAACTCTCCCAATGATATTTTTACATATTGCTCCTGCTGCACCATGCACTGGATGTTCAAACACTTGGACAACTACCAGTTCTATAAAGCAGATAATAAGCATTATCAATCCCAATTTTTTTTTTTTTTTGTGAAGAAACAGGAAGATGAAATTGCCTGACACGGCACACAGAGGAAGAGCCGAGTCATCATCACAGATTCCCAGCTGACACAAACACCCTGAGAACAGAGGCCATTAGTGTTTGCCGCCACGGTCCATAAACCCCCTGAAATGCTGTGTAGGATGTGTTCCAATCCATCTTCTCCAGTTCACCTCCCAACGTCTCTGAGCACGCCCAGGAATCGCCCGCGAGGCGCCTTTCCTCTCGAAACATTAACAGAAAATGGTTAAGGCATGGCAAGCTGCTGTCACAGGAGAGCAAAATTAAAAATAGAAATAAAATCAACGGATTCTATTAAAAGACCAAAGAGCAGGGGGCTGTTTTAACAGCTTTTCTAGATCTGGAGGAGCTCTGGCTGTGCCCTGCAGTCAAACTCCTTTCTCCACTCCATTCAGATGAATAACCTTGTTTAGCAACTTGTGGAAGGACTTGGAACTTTGTGGTAATGAGCTTATGGCTGTGGTAGCTGCAGGCATTCATTAGCACTCAGCTCTGCGCAGATGGGCTGCAATTTGTACATTTTCCAGTTCCTAAACAAATCTGCAAACGCTGACCATCAGAGCCAATTACGTTTGGTGCCAGGCAGCAGATTCCCCTCCACAGCAGCACTCCTGGCTTTGCTGGGACGGATCCAGCCCTGCACATCCCAGCCAAGGGCTGCAAGCTCACCTGGAAAAGGCTCCAGGTCTGGGGCACCTCATCCCACACGGCGGCTGTGGAGTTAAATCGTGATTTAACACATCTGTGCCAGTGTGAGTTACCTGAGGGCGAGGTTCAGCACCACACGTTTCACACTGAAAACGGGGGAGGATCCAGCTCTGTGATCCCTCTGCCATCTCTCTGTCCTCTGGTATCCAACCCTCCCTCCCAGCCAGGGAACGCTTCCCCTGTGCCTGCAGGAGCCTGGGCACAGCCTGGGAGCAGGGACCAAGCAGCTGCGCTAAATCCAGCCATGCCAAAGCCTTCCCTGGACAATATCCCTGGGAGTGAGTTCCAGCCATGCCAAACCTTTCCCTGGACAATATCCCTGGGAGTGAGTTTCAGCCATGCCAAACCTGTCCCTGGACAATATCCCTGGGAGTGAGTTCCAGCCATGCCAGACCTTTTCCAGCCATTCCAGACCTCTCCCTGGACAAAATCCCTGGGAGTGAGTTCCACCCATGCCAAACCTGTCCCTGGACAATATCCCTGGGAGTTCCACCCATGCCAAACCTGTCCCTGGACAATATCCCTGGGAGTGAGTTCCAGCAATGCCAGACCTCTCCCTGGACAATATCCCTGGGAGTGAGTTCCACCCATGCCAAACCTGTCCCTGGACAATATCCCTGGGAGTGAGTTCCAGCCATTCCAAACCTTTCCCTGGACAATATCCCTGGGAGTGAGTTCCAGCCATGCCAAAGCCTTCCCTGGACAATATCCCTAGGAGTGAGTTCCAGCCATGCCAAAGCCTTCCCTGGACAATATCCCTGGGAGTTCCAGCCATGCCAAACCTGTCCATGGACAACATCCCTGGGAGTGAGTTTCAGCCATGCCAAACCTGTCCCTGGACAATATCCCTGGGAGTGAGTTTCAGCCATGCCAGACCTTTTCCAGCCATTCCAGACCTCTCCCCGGACAAAATCCCTGGGAGAGAATTCCACCCATGCCAACCCTTTCTTTGGGCAAAATTCCTGGGAGTTCCAGGCATGTCAAACCTGTCCCTGGGCAATATCCCTGGGAGTGAGCTCCAGCCATTCCAGACCTCTCCCTGGACAAAATCCCTGGGAATGTGTTCTGTTCCAGCCATGCCAAACTCTTCCCAGGATAAAATCTCTGGGAGTTCCAGCCATGCCAAACCTTTTCCAGCCAATACAAATCTCTCCCTGGGAGTGAGTTCCACCCATGCCAAACCTTTCCCTGGACAAAATCCCCTGGATTTTGCTCCCTTTCCCTGTGGTCTAAAGACACAGAACAACCAACTAATCCACTGACTATTCAGTTCCCCTTCTGCAGTTAACCTTAACAGTAATTATCCGAGGGGGTTTCAGCGAAGAAATTAGGAATTCAATTTAAATTATGGAGCAGCCACACGAGCATAAATCAAGTGACAGGAGTTCGATGCTGAACACACTTTATGTGCAGTGAAATGGGCAGAGAAATGACAAACACAGCCAGCATTCCCCGAGTTCATTATTTCACAAGTGTGTTTGTAAATGTTGACTCTCCTCAGGCCAGGGGATTTCTGGGTGGTGAGAGGGGTTCAAGGGCCCCATTTCTGTCAGCCTCACCCTTGGAGGGAGCACACGCTGGTCCCGTGTGCGCTGAGCCTGGGAATGTGGGGTTTGATGAGCAGAAAACATTAAAACATTTACATTAAACCGTGCATTTCAAAGAATGATGATGCCAGCAAAGGGAGAACATTAAGCAGACAGAACATAAACACCAAAGTGTTGGGACGTGAGATCAAACCCTGATTTGTCAGGGAGGATTGCACTGCCGGTGCTCCCCTCATCCCAGCCCCCCCTTCCCTGAGAAAATCAGGTTTATCCAAGGCCATCCCCTGCTCTGCCTCAGCAGATGGAGGCTTTCAAAGATGGAGAACCAAGGGATGGATTTATGGGATAAAAATACATTTAAAGGAGTCGTGATGACAAAAGATGTTTGTCACTGGCAGGGATGTAACCTTTGGGAAACTTCAGCCCCCGCACAAACACTCACAAAGCAACCAGGGAAAATAAAAACAGCCAAGAACCTAAAACATCTCCACACTGGGATGAGTGATGGGGTCTGGACTGCAGTGTCTGAAGAGCAACTCAAAACTCCTCAGAATTTCACTTTCCTCACCATGGAGGTCACAGAATTGCTTGTACCAGAATTAAAATACTTTTCCCTTTAAGAATTATTCGGATGATCTGGAACCAGACCTTGAACCTGCTATAAAATGCTGTAAGGTTGTAGAAAAAGATCTGGGTTTGGTTTTTTTTTCCCCCTGAAATTCAGTCTGCTCAGAATTAACCCCCCCTCCCCAGTTTCCAAGGAGGGCTGAGCACATCAGGACCCACAGCTCAGGGGCACCAGGGGTTAACCGGGCCCCTCCCTGGGTGGCAGCAGCCCAATTAGCATCATCATAAATTTGTCCCAGTTACAGAAAGCAATTACCACAGACCAGCTTATGGCATTATCAGAGTAAAATCAGCTCAACACCCCAGAGCCTGGGCAGATTATGGGAGTTAGGGAACTCTTCTCCCTGAAAAACAAAGCTTATCCCAACCACGAGTCCCTCACCAGTCGCTCTGATGGGCATTCAAGCATCCCAAGACCTGGGACTGATTTTTTGGCTCTTTCTGGTGACCTTGTTTGAGATTCCAGCCAGATTCAACACAAGAGGCAGCTCCCAGCCCTTGTGGGCATGGTGATAATTCGGGAGGTCAGCAGACATTTTATCCTGGAGAAGAGGAGGCTCAGAGGTGCCCTTATTGCTCTCTACGACTGCCTGAAGGGAGGTTGGAGACAGGTGAGGGTCAGTTTCTGAGAGAACCAGAGGGCACAGCCTCAAGCTATGGCAGGGAAGGTGTCACAGAACCACAGAATCCCAGAATCCCAGAATCCCAGAATCCCAGAACCCCAGAATCCCAGAATCCCAGGATGATGAGGTTGGCAGAGACTTCTGAGATCATCCAGTCCAACCTGTGCCCTCACACCTCACCCAGACTATAGCACCCAGGGCCATGTCCAGGCTTTTTTAAACACACCCAGAGATGGTGATTCCACCACCTCCCTGGGAAGAGCATTCCAGTGCTTTATTATTCTTTCAGTGAAAAATTTCTTCCTAATATCCAACCTATCCCTTCCCTGATGTAGCTTGAGCCTGTGCCCTCTGGTTCTGTCAGTGCTGCCCAGTGGAAGAGACCAACAGGTTGGATATTAGGAACAAATTTTTCACCAAAAGAATAATAAAGCACTGGAATGCTCTTCCCAGGGAAGTGGTGGAATCACCATCTCTGGATGTGTTTAAAAAAAGCCTGGACATGGCCCTTGGTGCTATAGTCTGGGTGAGGTGTGAGGGCACAGGTTGGACTGGATGATCTCAGAGGTCTCTGCCAACCTCATCATCCTGGGATTCTGGGATTCTGTGATTCTGGGACTCTGGGATTCTGGGATTCTGGGATTTTGTGATTCTGGGGTTCTGGGATTCTGGGATCCTGTGATTCTGTGATTCTGGGATTCTGTGACAATGGGCCTCCTGTCCCTGCTCTGGGATTTTCCTCTGCTGCCCTTTAAACACAGCCTCTGCCTTCCCCATGGCCAGTCCCAGACACATCCACACCCCAGGGAAGGCAGTGACAGTGCCAGCTCCTCCTCAGGGGACAACCAAAGGCTTCCTGACCCCAGGGAAAAGCTCAGGGTTTGAGATGGGGAAGGTGACTCAGGACTGCACAAAGGGCTCTTGTTCCAGTCCATGGGGATGTTTTCCCCTCTCTCTCAGGTAGAA